TCCCTCCTCGGACGCCTTTCTCTTTGAAGATAAACTCGTTTACCTTACAAGTGATGTCAAGAGCGAATGATCGACAAGAATTCGAGTCAATGTCAAGCGCAACCAGATGGACTATGCTCCTATCAATTAAAGAAGTCAAAAGCAGCGGCTGATCCGAGGGAAGCCCCGGAATCTCGAGCGGAACGCCATCTGTTGAGCCGAAGGTACTCCAATGATAGGCGGTCAACGTCAAGTCAGAGCCACGGACGTGAGCAGTAATTAAACAAGAACCATCTGGAGTCGAGTAAACTGCCTTAGGGATCTGAATCAGATCAAGGGTGGCAGGTCTGTCGTACGTATGTTAGCGATCATCATTTATCGGAAACTAAACTCCAACCTGAACTGCATCGTTGTCAGAGAGTATATTCTGGCTTGTGCCAATGAATCGACAAGCAGTAGCTCTTCGCTACCACATATGAAGCATGCATGAATGATGGAGACTCCTTCGCCGTACAACTGAGTCAGGTTAATCGCGCTGCCAGAACCTTGGAAACGGATATTGTCGTGAACAAAGTTGTGCAATAAAAGCTGATGATGTGTTCGTCAGACCCGTCCGGAAGATTACTTGTGAACCAACCTTCTCTCTGGCGACAACACTGAGCACTCGTTTTGACTCGTCAAATGCGAGAATGAAATCGCCAATTTTATCGCGATTCAGCCTTTTCCCGCGACCCCGATTCAAGGCGCCTTCGATAGTGGTGAGGCTTTCTAGATACACCATCAGGTGCCCAGAACGATCAGCCGTTACGAGCAAGATCTTATCGCCTGAAAGAAGTTGCGCTCTCCTAGATGAAGAGCGTTAATTCGTCGATGCACCACAATGTCAAAAGCACTGACGCCACCGAATTCCCAAGAGGCAACTTGAACGAGTAAGCCTGCCTGCCGGTGAACTTCGGTGAGGGAATCATGGTAGGGTCCATTTTCAAGGAATCTTGATCATGTTCCATTAGCTGCATGAGGTGGACAGAGAATTCAAGTACAGGATCCTGGAAATATTCCCTTCGGCCAAAGACGTATATCTGTACTGTTATAGAACATTTGAGCAGAGTGGGAATGCACGAGGATAGCTCGACTTACGCTGGTAAACCTTTAGTGTCTGCTGGACGGAATTGATAACAAAAGTGTGCCTATCAACTTGAGATCAAGGCGAAGCCAAAAGTGCAGAATCGCTTACGAATGGTGCCCTGTTTGCGAGAGGTCGTTGATTGCACGGATAAACTCCCTCCGTAACTCGATATATTGTTCCTCTTCACGACTGGCAGCTTCTCTTCGAACCTGAAGTAGACATTGATCGGTTTGTATGCGCAGTGCAAAATGCACCAAAGTTCGAGTCTGCTTCATCAAGTGTGATCTAAAGTGCTCCAGAGCGACTGTTTTAGTTTCGGCTGCAATTTTCGCCATGATGTGGGATGGTTTGACATCCTCCAACTCCACGAGGAACTGAGCGTCGCTAATGGAATTGGTGTCTGCTTCTTTCAACGTATTACTGAAGGTGTGCGTGTCCAGGTCAGGCAGGTCGATGGAGCTGACTTTACCCAAGACAGCGCCCACGAATCTCTTGGGCTTCTCATGCAGAAGGTTCCCTTCGTTAATCAACTTGATGGTTTCCTTAACGTTTGACATGTCCTCGTGGAGAATGATATTGATGAACATTTCACGATTTTCCTTCGGCATATCAGTACCATTGCGAAGGACATTCCTGGCAATGCAGATCCGTTCTTTGTTGTCCTTGAAGTGTCGAGAGTTAATTTTCTCCGAATGTACCTTGTGACAGAGTTCTTCCCCTATGTCTGGGTATAAGGCAATGAGAGTATCAAGCTCATCTGCGCAACCAATCAATAACATGTAGAGCAGCACAAACATGATATACTTCGCCCAGAGTTACTTTCATGTTCATCTCCAGTGGAATGCAGGGAGGGATCGACAGTGGAGGTACTTTTAAAATGATATCAGCGATAAATGACCTGTCGTGGGTAGAACTCACGAAGAGATGGTACCAGTAACACCAGCCATGACCGAATCTGCAAACGACATTACTCAAAGACAAAATCATTGCCACAGAAGACAGACCTAGAGCCGTAGGGCCATACTGCTCGTAATCCACAGAACATGGGAAAGATTTGTGAGTGAAGGTACTAGGGCTCGATCAGATGCAGGCAAAGTGTGCGAAGTAAAACGCACGGAAATTTCTCGATAATAGCATCGACCAAAGCCTGGTGGAAAACCTTGGTCAGAAGAGGCTCCCCCCTCTTCAAGACCTCTCTGATCATTCTTTCCTCTGACTCCTTGCTAGATTTAGCGTTCGACGAGATAGCTGTGGATCGCTGCCGAAACTGTTCGCACTGTTGTCGGAAACGATCCTGGATGCCATTATTGATAAGAAGGTTTAGTGCATTGGCATCCAGACCCTCGCTGATCAGTAAAGCATCGTTCTTCCTAGAGGAGTGTCAATTGATGACAAAAGATGAACTGGTGCGATACTCACAGGTAACTGCCCAACTGGAGGCGAGTTATGGATTGGTTTCCCATCGGCTCGGCATTGAGCCTGCCGGGTTGAAATGTGACGGTCATGAACCCTTGGGTCGTCTCACCATGCAACAATTCAGGCTTCGGCGGTTCCCCGCCGACTGTTACATCTTGGTGAGGCTTGGGCATGGTTAAATGCTTGGATGTAGCCTATAGATGCGTCTTTAAGTACTCAGCCAGTCATCAATAAACCGGACTAACCTTGAATCCTGGGCGCGACTTTACGGCCTCCTCCTGCTCATTTGTTTTGGAGACTTCAAACGTGAACAGCCTACTGGACTCATCATGGCCTTCGTCGGGGTCCATGACGGTGTCTTCGCTTTCTTGGTCATTCCATACAATCGATTGGGCATGCTCCGAGGAAATGAGAGCTATGACCTGATCGCACATTTTCATGAGATATCTGACATATTTCGTTAGGGGCAGTACCTAAGCCATGAAAGACTTGACGAACCTCATGAAGGTCACGCGGTTGCATCTCACAGACGAAGGAGCTGAGTCATCCCATGTCGAATCCTCCGGCCAGTAGATGAGGAAAAGCTGTTGGTCGGGTGTAGCCTCGCAAGCTGTACGGACGATGTACAATCCAGAACGAAGACTCGGCATTGAAACACCGGAATCACGTTGGTTCGCCATCAGCTGTTTGGCGCTACAGAAAACCGATTATCAAGGTGTCGATCAGCATACTTGCAATGATCTCACATCTTTTGGTCGACGACACGTAGAGATGACAGAAGCCGCACAATTTCACCCTTACTCCCGTACACGCCGACGGGTTTCACGATGAAGCGGTCCAGCGTGCTGAAGTTTACTTTCGTCATGGACACGTATGCGCCCGGACAAATACTGTTGATAAATGCACGAAGTGAATCCTGCACTATAATAACCTTGTCCACTGAGAGCAAGATTAGCCAAGGTAAAGCTTGTCAAGGAGAGTGAAGTCACCTAGCCCACTACTCCCTCGCTCACTGATCAAATCTAGAACCCTATACATCCCATCAATCAACTGGACAAGGTCGCTAGTATCACCATGCGGAGAAGAATTTTCCACGTCCGTCTGAATCAGAATGTGAGAACTCCAGCCCTCATCATGATGACCGCAAGCCCAAAGAAAGTGAACCTACAAAGTCTTCTGCAACATCGGATTTTACGGATTTATAGAGGTCGTCATCATCCGAATCCTCAGACATGATGGTAGCGTCTGTCGAATCTGATTGATCACATTTCAACGCTGAGAGTACTTGTGATGCCAAGGGCTCATCATCAGAACCATCGTCCATGTCATCGATTGTGGTCGATGGGAGAGATGCACGGGAATGAGAACCCAGGGCAAAACGATTCAAACTGTTATCGCCGATATCGACTGGTCGATCTGTGCAGATTATAAACGATAGATTCCCTGTAAGTGGAATTTACTAACCGACTCCTTTCCCTTTGTCGCGGTTTATCCCCTGCTTGAAGGGCTGAGTGTTATTGGCACTGACTGGGAAAAATTCTGGTGGTTCAGAGGATGCGTACATGATAGTAGATGGATGTGATGAACCTGGCATCGCCGTTCATTATAGTTCGCAGTGTCAAGTGCCTTGGAGTCTAGGCTCAGTTAGCGCCTCAGCCACAGACCATTAGTACTACCCTAACCCAGGATCCAGGGCTTGACTGATTTAGCTCATTGTAATGATTTACAACGTGCCTTCGGAATATGATGACGAAGGTGAGCAAGTGCACGCAATATCATCATAAACGTTTGAACATCTCGCGCGCATCCGAATTTCACTGAGCTTGCTGAAGTAGATGACCAGAGCGTTGGCGCGTGGAACAGGCTAGTACGGAATTATGACCATCGACAGCGCACTAAGCCTTTAAACAACGTGTTCTGCTCTGTTAGCAATATTTGGTTTCATCTGTCTGACCTTTTTTTCGCCTGTGCTCGCTGAAGTAAAAAAACTGGTGTGAGACAGGCGGTGTGGTTTGTAGTTTTCTCATTTTTGCTGTGAGCATCATGATAAAAAGCTCTGTGACTCAGAGAAGTCCGAAGTCATGCTGCATGCTGCACAGCCACGTGCACGCTTCTTAGATTTGGTAATCGACAGATTCAGATGTGACGTCGCATGTCACGGTTTATTTAGCGGATTAGGCTCGAAGTCGGCACAATTGTAAGATCGAACATGGTCGCGACATGTTAGAAAAGTAATATAGGAACGAAAACAGTATAGACTGCTAATAGGTACCTTCTCTTCAACCATAACCGCTAAGAACTGATTGTGCGGACCAAGTCAACCTCATCAAAATCAATTTCCATATATAATACAGCAACGTCGACTTTCTCTGAATTTATCGTACAAATATCATATACATCCATGTAATGAACCACTCTCTTAAGCCCTGAGGCCTGAGCCACGCCATTGGTCGCGACTCTTTTGTGATAGCAAGCGAATTTACCAGAGGAGTTCACCGCTAAACAAATACGAAAGGCATCAGAATCTTTGCAGTTTCACCGGTGCGATCGCCCGACGTACCCGTCAACGAAGTATTCCCCACCAGTCATGTAACTGGCGTGCTCAGACAAGAGCAAAAGTGCCTGGCCTGTGATCTGCTCGGGCTATAAAACGGCAAGATCAGTGAATGCCAAGTACAACACGCAGTACATACACGAGCGAAGTGTCCCATGGGAATGTTCTTCTTTTGATGTTCGAGTATGTTCTTGTCTATGCCCCTGGTTTGATCCGTGTCCACTGATACATATATTAAGGACGTCATACTCATAAAGAGGGCAGAACGCTGACCATAGCCAGGAGACACTACGTTCACTCTGATTTTTTCACGAGCCCATTCAGCAGCCAAAGCCCTTGCAAGGTGGGAGACGGCGGCCTTGGATGAATTGTAGAAAGCCTGCCTCAACGGCTCGTTTGTGGCAGCTTGGTTGATGATCTTCGAGCTAATGGAGGACGTGACAACGATCGAAAAGTTCTTCGGCTCCCTGCCTTGCCAAAGCCTGCCGAATAAGTCAGGAGATGCCTTCCAAAAATCCTACATATTGGTACTTACTTTTGAGCAGCCCTAGCGCTGTTGAACACACCGAGGACATTGACATCATACACGTATTTGAAGTCCTCGTTGGTCAGCTCCTCAGCACGCTTCATGACAGAAACGCCAGCAGAATTCTGAAAAGATCGAACCGAAAATTTTGAGAAATTATCTAGCGGAAAACGGTTCCACTCACTGCAATAACTCCTGTGACGGGGCCAAGGCGTTTGTCAATGTCAGCAAACATCCTGACCGTCTGCTCAGCATTGACGGTGTCGCACTGGAAAGCCTATGCGGGAGGATAGGGGTCTAAATGAGGGCGGCATCTTTGACGGACAGTTTACATACCATGACCGAGACGCCGTGTTTCTCACTAAGTTCTTTAGCGGCTTTTTCAGCGTCATCCTTGCGGGTCCTAGCCAAATAATAACAGATATCAGTGTTTGGTGGCATAAATGTGAGTAAGCCTAACCTGTAGATGATTGCCACTCTGGCATGGGCCTTAGCGAGAGCGTCGCTATACGCGTACCCAATCCCTCGGGTGCCCCCGGTGACAATGAAGGTTCTTCCTGCAAGCAGAATTAGGAGGAGTCAGACTGACAATAATGCACCAAGCGACACACCAGAAAAATCAAAGGTAGAAGGTGCAGACATGGTGGACTGTGTTGTGGATAAGTGTTGAGTGTGAGTGTAGATGGCTGTCAAGTAGTCGAGGAAGACTGGAGAGAGGGGGCTTGAGTCGAGCGTATAAATCGTCGAGCTTTGAAGACGTCATAACAGTCCCCTCTTTGAATTTGATAGCTGGTACTGTATTGGCCCAGCCGAATTGTATCCCCTCTGACTTTGTACTGTATTAGCCCAGCCACTTGTAAGATCGGAACTGCCTTTCTGGTAGACTTGCAGTACTCACAACGAAGGACTCGGCGATATTCAGGGGCACAGCTCAACTTATTCTCAGATCTGGCCCCTTTCGAACAGTCTTTCGTGATTCGGCCAGTTGCTGCTCGTCACAGATAGCTGTTTCCCTATGAGCTCGGGCCACAGATTCATCAATTTGTATGCGCAGGGCCGAATGAGTAAAAGTTGTCGTTTGCATCGTTATAAGTAATCTGAAATACACCACCGCAGCATCCCTGGAACCTGCGACGACTTTTTTCATAACGGGAAGCTTCTCCATATCATCCAACTCAGCGAGGAACAATCCAGGAACTGGCAAAAAGAGTAACACCCACAACCAATCACCTAACTGGAGGCGAGTGACAGACCTGCGCTTCCATGCATCGTTGACCCGCGTGGCAGGTAGATAGTTGATTGTCATGAACCCTTGAGTAGTCTCGCCGTGTAACAACCAAGGCTTATGCAGTCCGGAATCTTCTGTTACCTCCGGGTGAGGCTGGGGCATGGCTATGTGGACGGATGTAGCCTACATGCGGTTGTCAGCACTATACCAGTCGTGATAAATTGGGCAAACCTTGAATCCAGGACGCGGCTTTACGGCTTCTTCCTGCTCATTGGTTTTCCTAACTTCAAACGTGAACATTCTGTCAGGCTCGTATCGGTCTTGGTCTATTTCCATCAAAGTGTCATCGTCTTCCTGTCCAATCCACACAATGGAGCGGACATGCTCGGGGGAGACCAGTGCCATGACTTGGTCACACATTGTCGTGAGGTACCTAATGTCCCGTGTCAAAAATACCTGCTGGAAGAACTCAGGGAGGATTAAACGAACAGCATAAAGGTAACACGGTTACGCTTCACGGATGAAGGGGCTGAGTCATCCCAAGTGGCATCCTCGGGCCAGTAGATGATGGTATTGCAGCAATAGTGCGATTCCTATCCGCCTATCTCTTCTTGCAATATTGAATGTCCTACATGGTGCTGTAAGTTTGTGCAGTTGCAACCCTTAATAAATTCGACAGGACGTACCTGACACCTGGGATGACCTGCGATATCATAGTTTGTATGGCTACAGCGTGGTCAATAGAGTCCTGGCGGGTGAACGCCAATAGGACATACCTTTGAAGACAGGTGCCACAAGATAGTATTGTTGACACTTTTGGAGGGTAAAGGCGGTGGAGAAGTATCCGTAATTGCTGAGTACTATGGCCAAGATACTAAAATAGCTGCATTAAATGTGAGCGACAAAAAATGACAGGAATGAGGACAAAACGTGCCGTATGAGAATAAATAGGGCGCAGGCAATGCTGATGGAAATAGAGCCTGTTAATAGTGGTGCGTGAATGCTCGCATACACATACCTTATATGAAAAAATGACGATTGACTTCGGTAAAAGCGCCATTCTGCGGGGAGGGTGAGAATGTAACTGAACGTGATCAGTGACGACTACGGGGACCCTACACAGAAAAGAAAAGGCTTACTCGTAAAATGAGATGAAGATGGATGCTATTCGCATATACTTCTCCGAGGTTGTGCTGTCTACAACTAAACGCCGTTCCATTTAATAGATGGAAGGCGCGTTGATTAGCTCTGCGTCAGGCAGATCTGTCCTTGATAGATTGATGCCAGAGATGAGGCAAAAATTTGAAATGCAGCCGTTAATGACGAAGGCTTCTGCGAATAGCCTGGGACGCTCTGCTTTCAACAGAGAAAGGAAGAGACTGATAAGGAAGAACTGGGAGCTGAGGCATTGCTTTTCTACCAAGATCACACTTTGAAATTGAGTGAACATGGTTTTAAAAAAGGGGAGAGCTTGTCCAGACACTGGCACGTCCGAGGCTCGGTTGAATCAGACCTTCGTGTAAGCCAAGTTTGAGCCAATTACAAGCCAGCGAAGCGTTTTAAGGTTCAACAGGGTCCGACATCCAACCCCAACATCGGCTTGTCCGGCGGTCTACGGGTCTGTCCGGGTCTGACCGCCTACGCCCGGCTCTGTCCGTCTAGCTAATATTGTCCATAGAGCCAGTAGTGTCATACTAGTCCACTGATAATCGAGATCGAACACTCAATACTCAGGCATATCGACACTCGACTCGAGACGCCAGGCATGAGAACTTTCCACGACTTACTGCAGCACCTCGAGAGCCAGCCTGATATTATTAGCTGGAACTCTATTAGCACCCTTTTTTGTTTCATTAGTATCGCGAGCCGTCTCAAAGAGGCATTGCACATGTATGCCGACGGGACATTGGAGGTTGGTTGTAGTCGTTAGATACGCGAGGTTTCGGAGGGGTGCTGTCCCGAGTAGGAGTTGTTGAAGGTTCGGACAGTCCTGATGAGTCGGCAATGGATGGGCGCCCGTCGATACTATCTTTCCGGGGTGTGGATTTTTTGCGGGCAGGAACGCCTTCTGGCCATGTGCGCTGCACGACTGTTAGTTTTTTTTGGGGGATACTACAGGACGAGACGCACGTCTCGCTGCCCATGAGTGCATCGCGAAGGAGAAACTAGAGTCGAACGAGAGACAAACGGAAGTCGTGTGACACGATCACCACGCCACCCTCGAAGTCCTTGATTGCAAGCGCTCGTGCGTCGATGGAAGCCATATCCAAATGGTTCGTCGGGTCATCTGCGCCTCCATCTTGTCGATGATTTTTTGTTTTGACTTGGCCTGCTTGACCAGGTTAGCATATGTACCAGCGGAAGCGATGAATCTGGCAACGTTCAGTCGACGGTGGATTTTAAGGAAGAGAAACACATACTTCTTAATGTGGGCGATTTCTTCTTGCTGTTTGTGGCATGCCTTCATCCGATTAAAAATGATGGCGCCGAGATCCAAATGGTTCGTCGGCTCATCAAGGAGGAGTAGATGTGGCTCAACGAAGAGTCCATGGACAGACCCGGACAGACTCAGATGGACAGACGGACGGACCCGCAAATTCGAACTCCCAGATGCCCTCTCAGCAGCCAATGTTCTGTCGTCAGGAGAATATCAGGGACAGTGCAAGTAAGCATCTGTTGGCAATCTGCTGGAATTTCAAATGTCATCTATTTGAAGGGGTATTCCGGGTGGATAGGTTCTGCATAGAACACTATTCAGGACATAAAAGCCGTCCTCCTACTGTCCCCCTCCAGATTTATTTTCGAGAGGTAATATCACATCTCACAAACAATGCGTCTCGCATTCGTCCTCGCCGCTGTCGCTGCATTAGCGTCTATGCTTGTCAGTGCTGACAATTGTCACTATCATTGCGACGTGGATGCAGACTGCTGCACTGGTGATGAATGCCTGCCAGAAATAATCTATGACGGAGTTGATGCAGTGAGTATGAGTAGTTTTCATCCAGGATTTAACCCCATGACTCACCGGCACGGTAGCCTGGATACATATTTACGTGTCAGACCGTGTCCAACTGAGCGCTGAGCCACAGTGAGTCGTGTTTCTGCTTTCGCATAAATACAGTGTAATTGACGGCACAGCAGTTCGTTGCTGAGGACTGAGTACTTGCTTCTGAACAAATGTTACTGCTGCTCGAGCCATGATCGATTGATCAATGAAGACCTTGTTTGAAACTGAAGTACTTACGACGCATTCTTTTTCTCGCTGTAAGCTTGCAGAATATGATTTATAGATCTGAGGCCTCACATGATGGACAGTCGGACTTAGGGGCTTGGGTGCTGCCACTAACACACTGTCATCATGATGTAGTTGCACAACGTTGCTGATCTAAGCAGACATGCGGGGTTTATTATGAAATTCAAGTCTCAAACTTATCTCGAGTTCGGAACACATCCAACTGTCACCGTGAATCCTACCAGACGTCGTTTATACTAAACTCACGCTAATATGTTTGAATCAGACGGGCTCCAGTTGGTGCACTCGCTGGGTTATCCAGCTGTCATAGCGAAGATCCCAGGAGAATCTAGTCTAACACAGATTCGACTCACGCTCATGAGTCATCGTCCCCTTCCCTGAACCTGCCAGACAGTGGCTATCTTCAAGAACTTGAGATACCACAAGTCGCTCCCCCTCAGCCTCAGACTCCCCGACCCTCCTCACCACTTCCTGCGGTCAGGGCTGAGGCCTGAGGGGTGAGTTGCCATGAATGACGAATATGTAATTGGACCTTTGACAGCCCGTAGACGGAAGGGTGAATTGATCTCTTGGCGGACGGTTTCGAAAATGGTGGTTTTTCCCTTCGTGATATCTTATCGCGAGCGCTCCAGCTAGGTGATGTTGATGTTCCTATTCCCGTGTGGTCTCCACACGCTCAAACACATTGTTTAAGCCTGGTGCTGCCAATGTCTCCATCTCTTTGGAACTATATGCGTACAGGGCCCCACGAAAAAGTGTCAATTTAGGACATGCGAAGAGTGAAGTATAAGTCCACTCCATTTAGTGCTCTTGACAACTCTGCAGCTCACTGCAGTATATGCCGTATTATGTATGTGAACCAGGGTTTGCATAGACGGGAAACCCTGGGGACCTTCTCAAGCTGATGATAGGTGCCGGGTGTATCGACGCCCCTGCCCTTAACGGCAAAGCAGATCCGCTACTGGAGCAAATAGAATGTGATGATAAGCATTTCTGCGCCTCAACCGATTATGCCGCTACTAGTACTCATTATTCTTGCCTCAGAGTTTCTGAAGATGACCCACTCACTGTGTTTAGGATCTTTGCTCCAGTATTCCGCCGGACGCCCCCTTCACGAACTAGAATTTTGCGACGCCCATGTCTATTTCTATCTGGATATTCGCGGGCGCCTATTACTGAATGATGCGATCGTCTCCCGCTGAGCGGCGGAGAGAACCGGGAAACGTGTCCACACTTCGGTGTGACAATCAATGGAACAATTATGGGCAGTGACGTTCTCCGACTGAGCTCCCCCTCCTCGGACGCCTTTCTCTTTGAAGGTAAACTCCGTTACCTTATGAGTGATGTCGAGAGCGAATGATCGACAAGAATTCGAGTCGATGTCAAGCGTAACCAGATGGACTATGCTCCTCTTAATTAAAGAAGTCAAAAGCAGCGGCTGATCCGAAGGAAGGTCCGGAATCTCGAGTGGATAACCATCTGTTGAGCCGAAGGTACTCCAATGATAGGCTGTCAACATCAAGTCAGAGCCACGGACGTGAGCAGCAATTAAACAAGAACCATCTGGAGTCGAGTAAACTGCCTTAGGGATCTGAATCAGATCAAGGGTGGCAGGTCTGTTATACGTATGTTAGCGATCATCATTTATCGAAAACTAAACTCCAACCTGAACTGCATCGTTGTCAGAGAGTATATTCTGGCTTGTGCCAATGAATCGACAAGCAGTAGCTCTTCGCTACCACATATGAAGCATGCATGAATGATAGAGCACCCACCTCTCGCACAGACCGTAGGAACACCAGTTGCATGACCCACTTGAGACGAGATCAACATAAGTTATCCCTAGACACACATCAAGGCTATAGTACCTACACTACTTATGCTTGTTCGAAGTTTTCCCTTTACCCTTATGGAAAGATTTCCCCTCAAAACCAGGTCGAGCTTTAGTTTTCCCCTTTGATGACGACGATTTTCTTTTATCGCTCCGTCGCTCGTTTCGCATCGCGATGTTATCTGAACGTTTCTTCTGCTTTGCAGCCATGGAAGCCGTAAGTTGGTCTTTCCTCTCCTCCCTGAAACGATATGAGTATCATGGAAAAATTGATTGTATTATCGGCCGCTTACCAGGACTTCTTGCTCTTCGTTTTCTCTTTTTCTTTACGTTTTACTGCTTTCTTGAGGCGCACTTCATCGTCCTTGACCTTGACACCTTCAACACGCGCCTCCGCTTTGGCCCAACGAGTCTTGTCTTCTATAAATTTGCGTTTATCTTCTGGCATCGCATCCAATTTTTCCTTCCGCGCAGCGAGCTGCGACAAAGCTTGATTAGGATTGGAAGATGTCTTGAGTGATGCGGCCTTTTTGCTCGAACTCCCAGCCACCGCAGAAAAAGTCACATTGGTCAATGGACCATCGGTAAGACGAGATGACGCAGTTCCTTTCGAAGCGACCGGCAAGTCCGGAACAAGTAGCTGATTCTGTTGGTCAAACACAGAGGGGATGAACTCGAGCTGAAACATTGCAAGATACAAAATACCTTGACAGCAAGACCCCTCGTTGCTGAATCCTTCTTGCTTCCTTTTTTACCTTCAGCCTCTGCCTTGCGCCTTTCTCTTGTTTCTTTCCGTCTTTTTTCACGGAGGGCGGCGCGTTGCTTTCTCCGTTCCTCCAAAAGCTCGTCTCTATCTCCTGGCTCTCCACCACCTTGTCCACCACGCCGGAGAGCTGCCATGCGCAGATGTAGTTTATCTCGAAGAGCGGCAATGCTCTCTGGTTTGGCCATAGGCACTAAGGAGGCAGGTGTAGCAGACGCAACAGCATCGTCGAGGTCCACATCATCGACTTGCATGTCGTCATCGTCGTCGTCGTTGTCAGCATCGTCAGATCCAGGTACGAGCGTCGCAGCTTTCCGTTTTCCATTGACTTTCGAGTTGTTTTGTTCCAGTTCCAGGGCAGCTTCATTCTGGAGGTCGATGACCGACTTTTGATTGGCAGGGTCAAGCTAGAAAAACAGATGGCCAGACTCAGAAGGACAACCTTGGGGAGTAATGATAGAGACAGACCTTATCCCTGCGAGCCTTTTTTGATGCCTCCTTCGCAGCTTGTTTGGGTGCCTTCTGATTTTTTTTGTGTTTCTGGAACTTGGATGGAACCTGTTTGATGCGCGTAATATCAGTGGGATTCAGATTGACCCCAGTGGTAGAATCACTGAAAATAACGCACGGCATCGTCTGCATCATGGCCATCTTTCGCCAGATAGTATTTGGCGGGTATCAGGTTCAATAAAGCTTCAAATGTAGCATTATGAGCCTCGACTGATGCGCGCAGAACTTCAATGGGTGTCGTCGGCATTGTGTACGAACGAACCGAAGGTATTAGTGCGCACTAGTACTAGGTGACTGCTACCTTGATTGTTGACGGTGTCTCCGGCCTTCCGGCGTTGAGTGGTCGAAATGCCTACTAAATTAGGGAATAAAATTGCACTATGCCCGAGACTCCGATCCCAAAACATGGAAGCTTGTGATGATAAACCTGAGGGGACTGATAACATGTCTCTTGCACGATAACTATTAACTGAACCTCTGAGGCATGTCCAACCTGGCAACAGCTATCAACTCCGACACAGCCACGGCTGCGCTCTCTTCATGCTCCAGCATTTCGAACACATCATCCAAACTGACGATGAGCTACTCGAGATTAGGTTTCGCAGCGATCTGCTTATACTTCTTTGTGGCTTCCACAAGGAGGAAGATGTCGTAGTTGAGCGCGCAAGGAACAAAGTCACATGCGTTTCTTATCCCGTCCCACCACTACCGCTCTGTGATGGAATACGACTGTTCAGGCGCGACCAGGTGCAGGACACCAGCTAGATAAAAGGCATGCCTTCGCATGAATGATTTGCAGGGCTCTGCAATCATTCCAATGCACCAATATATATTGTGATTCCCAGCTAAATGGGGTGTCGGGTGGAATTTGTCGCTCGGGCAAACAGCAGGTTGAGGTAGCACAAATCGTGGTCAATATTGCAAGGTAGTCCACCAGCAGTCTAAGTTTTCTGGCGAGTGAGAGTTGTCTAGCCACTAAACTATATTCCACAAACTAGCAGTCCCCCGGTTGGATCGGCAATGGCGGACCTATAGCGTTGTTCCTTTCGCAGAGCTGACCACAAAGTTACCAATGAATCCGAGGGATCATTTTGTTCGGATGATCTTGATCGTGAATAGATCTTCCTTCACACACTCAGGTGCCGCATCGTCTCGAGTGGACATGGATGACGTAGACCAAGCTTGACCATGCAACAGATGACGAAAACGAGAAGGTTCTATGCTCGGCGTGTGACTCCTATACGGTCTCTATCACGTTCGCCTCAGAATCACATGCCCCAAGAATCTTTTGAAACTGTGCCAAAAGAGGCTCAGCGAGTCCTCGCAGAGCAAAACTATATAATGCATTTGTTAAACATCGCAGAAGAACCATCGAACGAATCAACAGCACCTTTGTCGATCCTGACTGTGTCCTTCTTGTTAAACCGAACTCCGACTGTGTCACAGGCAAGAAGAGTGCAATTGGCTTAGTCGACGGAGGGGATGAACATGATAGCAGTTTTGACATCGCTGTTGTGGCAAGTTTCTCTACGCCTTCATCCACTCGCCCAGCAACAAGGTGGTAAGGAAGTAAATGTGATAGCCACTCGAAGACACAACATCCCGCACAAGTCCTTGAGGGCCAGGCAGGCGTTTGAAATTTGCCGGTTCATGCAATGGTGGGGTTTACCAGTGACCACGTAACCACTCCGCACAGATTTTAATTCTTAGGATGTCCTATGAGCTCAGATAGTGTCAGGCACACGCAAGAGAGTTATCGAAGACGTACGCATGTTCGAGTTGAAGGATTATAGTCACGAATTCCATTTGAACGCATGAGACGGATCCAGACTCGATGGTTGTAGTTTCGAGTCCACGATCCATGTACATGGTCGAGCGTTGAGAATAAGTCATAAAGCAGGGAAGCGAGCTGACGACACATAGTCTAAGGTCACAAGCTCACTTGAACAAGTCTAATTCTGAGTCGTGGTTCTGTAAGCGGAAGCAGATCAGGGATTATGTCATGCTAATCCAAAAAGGAAGCAAGAAATCGAACTGCCCCGATCATGATCGAGCTGCCAGTGAGCATGATGCTGCGTGCCATGGGGTGAGTACAGGATTCTAGAGGCGGTACTAGTATGAACAACTGAACCTTGGGTGTATGAGGTACATGAGCTACCAGTTAAACTGGATCCTCTATGTATGAAGCATCTTGTAGATGGTCAGAACAGTGTTCCGGACGGTGTTTATCTATAAGGTTTGTTTGCTCTATCAAAGCTCTGTGGCGTCATTACAACGGTTTCACCAGGTGTTCTCCAGCGTCTCTTTATGCTGCGCCGACGACGAGCTGATGAAGGAAGGCCTGAGGCCCAAGCGTTGATGTAAAGCAGGTAAAAACAATAAATGAGGATATGTTTTACAGTAAGAGTTGAGGCTAAAAGTTCGAGAGCATCGTTTAATAACTAGAGATATATATCTGCCTATAATGAGATACAGAGCCAGGTATATCTAGTATGAAACTCACCTGGGTCATCACGGACGTCATAATGACAAGGGCGTAAAAACAGAGATCGTAAATGCAGTGGTCGCCACCTATTGCTCACTTTCGCCCCCACTCCTTTCAACAACCGCCAAGTTCGTTCCTAGGAGAGACAGTATTCCGGGCAGGTACTATAGAGTTCGCTGGAAGACATACCCGAAGTGTCCATCGAATTGGCAGGGAATCCGGTTGGTCATCGTAGTAGTCTCTATTTGAGGTTGTACCTGAGTAATCGGTTGCCCCGTACCACGGCATGGAATCGACTGACATCCTCTTCGAATTCGCGAGGTCAACCTTGGTTGAACAAGACCGTGAGATACCCTACCGGCACGAAGCTATAGAGGCGTTCTGGCGGAGGCGACACATAATAGGATTGACTATGGCCATCGTCCTGAAACAATTACCGTACTGTAAAGCTGAAAACGCTATGTTCTAGCAGTATGAGAACTCACCACATTAGCATACATGTAACTCGACGAGGCACCGTATGGATGATTGATCATGACGGCCCAGCATGAACGGGCACGGATAAAATGGTTGATGTGCTACGTTCTGTTCGCTGGCACGGAATCAGAAAAGCCGCACGCAGATAAGCGACCAAGGAAGACCTGTTCCACATACAAACCATGTGGATGAGAAAAGAGCAGTGCCGACACGGCCCGATGCGAGATGAGTTGTGATGGACATAGCCCGAATTCAATCGTGATTGGTCCACAGCCGAAGTCCTGGGTTTTAATTTCAGAATGTCAAGACGGCATCCCTCACTTTAACTCTTCGACCGTGACTCGTTGAGTTTCCAGTCTTGCGAAAGTCAGACTGTGTCCACCCAAATGCATGAGTTTACTGGCAACGGCCACCGGCAGGGCCAGGGCCCACCCGTTCCTCGATATCTGCCACGGAGATACCCGAGTCGATGCCATCATCATGTGGTAGTGCCGCTGGCAGCCACCATCATGGTATGATCACTTATGACGGTCAACATACCCCAGAACCCTCCACAACCGACTGTCAATAAAGTTTCTGGCTGTCGCGGCCCAGTTGTCTCGCATAGCCTTGTACCCATCATTAACATCCATTCTCACCTCCGAGTCTCTGTGGATATGAGTACAGTCGTAGATATCTTGTATTATAGACCTTCTGCCCGGTCACTAGCCCAAGCTCACTTGTGTTCTTCTCTCCTTTCCAAATGCGCATCCTTATCTCTGACAACTTCACATTATGTCCGACTCGATCTCCATATATCAATCGCTGGAATAAAGTCATTGTCAAGTACGGCTAGAAGTGTTGAATCACCAAATGCGACAGAAAAAAACAGGTTGAAGACTTACTCATTTTGAACCTTGTCTCCCCGAGCCAGACCAATCGAAGGAAGATAGTCGTTCCTTCGTAGTTCTCCGAGTAGGACCTTGGCAATGCTGCCAATGTGGTCCATGTGCCATACGGCTCAAATCAAGCTCAACACATCCTCTGGGTATGACCAAGGCATTATAAGGATTATAAAAAGCCTGTCGGGAAGCGGGTGGTACCCAGAATAAGAGCCGATTGTCTGGTCCGACCATCCAGCCGTCAGCCTCCAGCAAAAAGGAGGTCGACTTGGGATCATCATCGGAGGTGCCGCCAATTAACTCAGCTGCATTGTACAGTGCGTGGGTTGAGCTGGAGGAGAAGCAAACAGTGTCATTGCTCCACGTTTTTTGTGACTTTGTAGTACTGTCTCCAATGAGAAGCATCTTGCAGCTGTTATCAGAGGCGACGGCTGGAGAAACGTACACGGTGTACTGTGGCAATGGCACAGGTGATGTATGGGTATTTCTTGCATACCAGAGCCGGATGGTGCCATCCTTTGAACAAGACACGATACGAGTGCCGTCCGGCGAGAAGGAGATTGAGTTGACCATACCAGTGTGCCCCCGCAAGGGTTCACCAACTGGCAGCCCTGAAACTGTATCCCACAAGCGGACAGTGCGATCCGAAGCGCCAGTCGCGACGTAGGTCCCACATGGTGAGAAAGAGACCGTGTGGATTGAACCAGTTTTGCCCCCCAGGGCCTCACCAACTTGCTGCCCAGTCGCTGTATCCCACAGCCGGGCAGTCTTATCCAAAGAACCGGTAATGATGCGAGTACCATCCGGAGAGAATGATACAGAACTAATTGAACGACGGTGGCCCCGCCAGGGTTTACCAATTTGCTGCCCCGTCGCTGCATCCCACAGCCGCACTGTAGTGTCCGAAGAACCGGTCACGACGAGAGTATCATTCGGAGAGAATGACACCGAGTTAACTGAGCCACAGTGCCCCTGCCAGGGCTGGCCGACTAGCTGCCCCGTCGCTGTATCCCACAGCCGGGCAGTCTTGTCCGAAGAACCAGTCACAATGTAAGTTCCATCCGGCGAGAATGAGACCGAGTTGACCGAACCTGTATGCCCCAAAAAGGGCTGGCCGATTTGCTGCCCCGTCGCCGCATCCCACAGGAGGACGGTATTGTCCCAAGAACCAGACACGATGCGTGTCCCATCTGGTGAGAACGAGACTGTCCTAACAGAGGAAGTGTGCCCCTGCATGGGCTCGCCGACTGGCTGCCCTGTCACCGCATCCCACAACCGTACAGTGGTATCCAAAGATCCAGTCGCTATGCGAGTCCCATCCGGGGAGAAAGAGACCGAGTTGACAAAACGAGTGTGCTCCCAGAAGGACTGACCGACCGACTCCCTCGTCGCTGCATCCCACAACCAGACAGACCCATCCGAAGAACCAGCCACAATACGAGTGCCATCCGGCGAGAATGACACTGAGTTAACTGCACAAGTGTGCTCCCGCAAGAGTTCACAGATTGGCTGCCCCGTCGCTGCATCCCACAGCCTGACAGTCTTGTCCGAAGAACCAGTCACGATGCGACTGCCGTCTGGCGAGAATGAAACTGAATTAACCGAACCAGTATGCCCTAAAAAGGGCTGTCCGATTTGCTGTCCCGTCGCTGCATCCCACAGCCGGACAGTGATATCTAGAGAGCCAGTTGCAATGCGTGTCCCATCCGGCGAGAATGATACTGATTTTACTGAACCAGTGTGATCCCGTAAGGGTTCACCAACTGGCTTCCCCGTCGCTGCATCCCACAGCTGGATAGTGTTGTCCGAAGAACCTGTCATGATGCGAGTCCCATCCAACGAGAATGAGACTGAGTTGACCGAACCATTGTGCCCCCGCCAGGGATCACCAACTGGCTTCCCCGTGGCTACATCCCACAGCCAGACAGTCTGATCGTCTGAACCAGTCACAACGCGAGTGCCATCAGGTGAGAATGACACTGAGTGAACCGAACCAGTGTGCCCGCGCCAGGGCTCGCCGTGTGGCTGCCCCGTCGCTATGTCCCATAGCCGAATAGTGTTATCCGAAGAACCAGTCACCACGCGAGTCCCATCCGGCGAGAATGACACTGAGTTCACAGAGCCACTGTGCCCCTGCCAGGGCTGACCGACCGGCTGCCCTGTCGATGCATCCCACAGCCTGACAGTCTTATCCCGAGAGCCAGTCACGATGCGAGTCCCATCCCGGGAGAACGAGACTGACAACACCCCATACTGATGCCCACGGAGCACGCTCTGAACAGCTGGCCAGCTCGCAGAATATCCAGCTGCCAGATGCAAAGTATTCGGAAATTTCTTAGCGAAATTTCGAAATATTGCGGAATCGACGGGTGAGAATGGCAACGCTGATACGTATAGATGGGGTGTGCTATGCAAAATGATGCTGCCGAAAATTTGAATAAATCTCTGCACGTCCATTACAGTCAACGAGACATCCTCGTATTCGGGATGACCCTGCGCTTGCGCGTCAGTGCTTCGTCTAACACTTCCCGGTAACTGAGCTTACCTCCAACCACTGAAGAATGAGCGACAGGGTACGAACTGCTCCGTTGAGTGCGTTGATAAGGCTGAGGGCTTCGAGCCAGAAGAGTAGTTGCTTGTGGCCAAGGAATTTTTTCACTTTCTTTGCGAAAGCGTCAAAGTCTTTGTGACTTGTCTGTATGTGCGTAGCCCAAAATCGACAGGCATAGGACAAATGTGGAGGAATGCGTTTTTTAACTCGCTCTTCCAGCTCGGTGTCTTGGCAATTAGGGAGATATGATGATTTTAAGCCACAGATATTGAAGGAAAGTTCGCTTTTCATCACTTGAAGTGATGCAGAAGCAAGGCTGTTTTGCACTGTCGAAACATCGACGAAAAAATCCCCGCTGGATGATGGGTTCACCAGGAAATCGCGAAAGGATGTGTGAAGGGGTCGGATTGGGGTTAATGAGTCAGTGGTGGTGCCGCTGAGGAGGGCTCCCAGGTTTTTCACTACAAAATCCACTTCGAATTGTTGGTTTCGGTCTGGAAATTGGCGCCGCATGACATTCAGGGAATGTAGAGGGAGGGGTTCAGCCGTGGCAAGTATTTGTCCCATCACGGAACAAAACTTCGCAAGTACTTCGACATACTCGTCATCTTCATATTTGTCCCTTCCCATGATGTCTGTCAAAATAAGTCTGTACATATCATACAACAGGTTTGTCCGTTTCACTGGATCACGTTTCATGATTTTTTTGAAGCGGTGAAGCGGGTCGATACCGCCAGGGGTTTTCTCGATATGTTCACAGGCAAGACGTGCCCATTCGAAAAGTCCATCGGCTTTCTCAGCGAGGGCCGTATACTCTGTTTCCCCGAATTTTGGCCGCCCTTCCAGCTTCTTCGACACGTAAGTATGGATGTCGTGCTCTGCAACTGCTGGTGGAATTTCGTCCATGGACTTTCGCCCAATATGTAGAGCACCGGTGAATTCTTCATCAATGTCGTGCAGTGGGCGTGAGGTAACGATAAACCGGAAGTTGTTTGGGAGTTTCGTAATTTGTGAAACATCTGGGTTCTGAAGTTTACCGGCGAGAATGCGAAGAAGGTTACTTCGTGCCGTTGCATCCCCACTCTCGTCCAGTGCATCGATCACGATCACGACACGTCCTACAGTTGACTCAGAGAGCTTTTCTAGTGGTTTCATAAGAAGCTTGTCCCACTGCTGAACAATATCTGCCGTATTCTTGAGCGCATTGTCATTCTGAACTGCATCTGCCAATGCTCGTCTCATCTCCGGATCGTGGTCAGCCAGGTCGCGCGCGATAGTGGAAAAGATCTTTTCGTGGCGATCAGCACCTCGGTGGCGGTCGAAACAGTAACATGAACCGAGCTCTCCCGTGTCCTTGAACTGTTTAGCAATCGTGTGAGCAACAGCTGTTTTACCAGTCCCGGCGGTGCCAGATAGCCACAGCACGCGTTCGGAATGTCCACTGTCATAGACCCATTTTGTGATCTGGCGGATAAAGTCTGTGCGAGTCCCATCTAGGCATTGTTCCATGATATCTAGTCCTGCATTCGTTGCATAAGTCATACCGCTGAGGTCCAGTATATCACCTAAAAAGGTATGAACAAATGGAGTAAAAGGCACATTCTAATCCTTACCAGCACGGTGAACGAAGATGGCCACGTCCCGAAAAACTTGATCCCGGAAGTTTTGCATGAGCGTATCCAATACTTGGCTGTACTGTTGAATCGTAACATCTGTTTCCGAGACAATGCTCTTTCCCATTCTCATCCCTATGATAATGGTAAAATATTCAGGATGCGCTGAGGGAGACAGCTTGAAGACTCACAAGCGTTCTTGGTCTCTGAATAGCCTATGATGAAAGTGGCACATTCGATGATCTGATCAGAGATCTGTTTAATGATCCTATACATCGACGGAATCTTGCGAAGCGTTTCCTCTTGCGTCATGAAGTGGTAAACTTCACCCAACTTCTCGTGAAGCTTGATTATCGCTTGGTCGCGATCCGCTTGATCGAGTACCATCTACGCGGATAACAGGTGAATAAGAGATAATAATTAGAACGAAAGTGAACGTACCTTTGATGCGTAAGACAACACACCCAGCGCTATCTTTGCATATGGATGTACCTACGGAATAGGATCAGACTGGTCCCGATGCAAAGGAAGGGTCATACATCCGCGACCCGCTCAATAATAGAGTTGAATATCCTGAGTGGTTGGAGATAGTCCTGGATACTGTTTGCAGTATCGAGATATGCTGGTCCATTTTGGGCGGCGGACGCCACAGATCCCACGTGTGCCCCAAGTGTCTTCATGTTACCTGCAGCTTTACCGGCAGCTTGAAGTACCACGTCCACCGATTCTTTCACGACAGAAGGGACTCCCTGGACTTGCGCGACCGCCGATTTGGGAACCACACCTTCTTTCACACCAGAAGCGGTATTCTGAACCTGTGGGACCATCGGAATTCAGAAACAGAACAGTAGCTGACGCGCGAGTTTGATCACTTACCTCGATATTCGGAGTCAATGGAGCACCCTCATGATTGACGTTTGGGGCAGGTTCACGGCTGATAAAATGCTTGAAGCGCTTTTGTACGATCTCAGCCCCTTATTTCAGTACAACTCACTATCGCCGTGGACTTACAGATATTTGTTCAGTTACATTTTTCTTGAACCTCTGTAACAACCGACGGGTTTTGCCACGGGGTTTTGCCTAGAACACACCGTGATAACAGTCAACATAGCAAGAGTGACAGATTTCAATTACGAGGCACTTACTGTAGTTTCACCAGCTGCAGTTGGATCGCTGACGGCTTCTGGAAGAGGAAGCGGCTTCGAACGCTTCATACGAAGATTGAATACGTTCATCGCGAGCAGGGGAAGGTGAACGAAGTACGAAAGGGTGGGAGAAGTATGTACCCATGCCGTTGACTACGGACGTGTTTCTAAGGGCCTCGGGACGGGCGTCACGACGGAACTCTGCGAGTCAGATCTTCGCGGGCATCGGCGGTATCTTTCACGCCAGGGGCAGGCAGTGCACTCTTGACAATAGACATCTAATTTTTGTGTGTCGACTCGAGTACTTGCTCACAATTGACTTGATGGTCGTAACCTGACATAGAGCTGAGGCAAGATGGCGCACTAAGTCAAATCGACGACAATTCATTATAAAGAGTTATCGCGAATACAATACGACGGTGAGCGACTATCTCGACTCTGATTCTCGAGAGGTGGTGACATTCCAGGGCGCCCAAACCATGGCTGCTGAGGAATCATGCAGAGGACCAGAGCAACTTTATCGGCAATATCACGTTTTGCTTATCAGCCGTTCACATCGGATGCGTGAATCGTGAGTCTGACTTGATATAGTATACTTGTGACCTGCCTCTAAAAGTCAACTTGTCCGTGGTAGTAGACGCCAGGCTGTCATGATTCACGAACCTAAGTTTGATGGCGGACATTGGCGGTTGATGCCATGAACTGTCACGTTTTAGTTGATGCTAACATTATGGAGGCTAACTTACGATGTCCAACCTGATAAACGCCCCATGAGGTGTGATTTGCGATGTAGACAATTGAATCCTGAAGCTGCTCAAGCTTCTCCATGCAAAAAAGGGCCCGGGTGCGAGGTCGGACGAGTCGGAGAACGGCTGAGCGCTTAGCGCTAGCTATGTCGAACGGTTTCAACTTGTGCAACCGGCACTAGCCGCATTCGAACTTCCGTAATGACGTACGTTAGCAGCTTCAAGCGTTTATATATAATTAGCATTCAGGGTGCTGGGCTGGGGCAGGAACTCTCTTAGACTTTGCTCGGATCCGAGTCACACAGCGGACATCGTCTGAAGTATTTTTTGGAACCTGGCAGTACTACTAGTATTGTACACTGAATCATCTAGCCAACACATCGAGCCGAAACGTTCAAACGACATTTATGTATTCCTTCTGAAATCTTACGTGTCCTTGTTGCTAATAAGAAATCCTCTTGGTTTTGTGAGCGAATTAGCGATTCCAAGGAATGTTTCAGCAAGTTGAACCTAATTATTGCACAAAAATATGTCAGGCAGGATTTACGCCCGACTTCGTGTAAAAGTGCTCACCGTATCTAAAGCTTCTGAGTATGTGGATGCAATAGTAGCTGCCGCGCGAGCCAAGGGGTCTCGCGGGGCATTGTTCTGGGCTTCGAGAGCGATCTGGAACATTCTTCTCAATGACGAAGAATTTACATCTCGGCCAAATGATACGGAGTGGAAGGATAATGCATTTCTAAACCCGAAATATGAAATCAGTGAATCAAATGGGTGATAACAGCCACAAACCCAAGACGGACTGCAGCACGGCATAAATCTTGAACCGTTTGGTCCTCGATAGGGCTCTCTCCATCTGACAGAAATATGATTACAGGTGTTCTGTAGTATACGCCCATGTAAACGTTTCATAGATCGATCAATAATAGGTAACTTACCGCTCTGTGCTCCAGTGTCGCTCCATGACTGATTGGGCACGTTTAATGGCAGCAGTGAAGTTCGTGCCTGCCGAAGTTTGATAACGTAGCACAGCGTCTAGCAGTTGGTCAGGTGAGCTGGAGAAATCGTTCACCACGGCTTCCACAACCGACTGGTCAAACAGGATAACGCTGTATGAGTCTCGTCTGGCTGCTTGTTGACCAGCGACTGCTGCAGCTCGGGCAGACCAGAAGCTGTACAAGGACGACAGAACAGCGCCAAACCTGTTGTTAGAGCTTTGGATTATTTTGTCTGAAGCGGGGGTATTCCTGAGAGGTTGTCGATCCCTCCTAAGCATGGACCTAGATCTATCCATAATCAGCATGCGCTGGAATATGCAACGTGTGGTATGCAATACCTATCTGCCACAAAAATTCTGTGTGGAATTCATGAACGATATTCCTATGGAACAAAAGAAAAATGACATACACGTGGAACGCTTTCTGCATAACTACGGGATTCCTGCAAGAGAAAAAATGCCCATCATTTGAGACGTATCCGAGGCTCGCTGGGGGGATATTTGGATCCATTGGAACGTGAAAGAGAGGCAAAGTACAAAAAGAGGGCTGAGCGGCATTGCCCTCTGCAGCTGTGTGTTCAGGACCTGGTATGAGGATGAGTAACCAACAAAGATCGGCAACAGAGATGACCTTACCGCTGCACATGGCATCACTGAATAGGGAATGTAATTCACGCTATGGATGAGTCACTGTGAAACTCACCATTTTGCAAAGATTGCTTGTTCCTCCCGGGAGTACGGGTCTTTGAAGCCTGTGAACCTCGTGAGACTAGCCACACATAGTGACAACATGCCGACTCACCACTCTGCCTCCAGAAGAGATTGTGTGTCAAAAAGTCTTTGGGACGGTCCGGGTTTGGTAAAAGTCTCTTCAGGTTGGGGATATGCAGAGCTTCAGGATTCAATGTGCACGAGGTAGCATCCTGCGTTCGACAGTAGCCAACGTGGACGTGTCTACCCAACGCCTGACAGACAATGTTGCACATCATGGGTGCACCCTCATCGTTCGAGGAGAAGTTTCGGCCTTCAACCTCGAGACTTGTACCATCTGGGCCATCGACTACCCATTGTGATGAAGACATAGATCCGTGTCTGGTTTCGTGCTCTTGTTGCGGATGACCTGGGGTAATTGTTTGTAAGACTGTTGAGGTGCATCAACGGTACCTACCTAGCGGCAATGTACAATAGTATCCACAGTGCTCACACCTTAAAATACGAGAACAGTGAGAAATGACCGCAAAATGAGAGAAAGATCCAAACTTTGCTCTGCAAAAATGTACCACTCTTTCGTCCAAACTATGGTTGTGTTGACCCTCATGAACCACCAGGCCCGGTGGTATTGGCTTGGTACATCTCAGTCGTTTAGCCACTGTTTGAAGGGCGGGTGAGCGCCAGTATGAAAGGTAAGCAACCCGCACACTAACCTTGCGAATACTGTGAAACAAGGTTGTCTGTTAGTTAAGAAGATACCCACGACAAACCCGACACGCCACCTTCGTGTACTGAAACGTCTCGTGCTTTCCTGTGAACGTCGCCTCGATCGATTGTGGCGCAGTGTCGATTTCGCAGATGCCATCGGCAGTGCACTGCATGGGACAGGGATGTTCCTCCCTATATTGACATGTAATTACCAAAACACATGGCAAGGATGATTATCGACAAACCCGCAGAGATGAATAGCGCCGTCCTGCAAGCCGTGAAGATGGTCAGTACTCGCACAAAGTCTCTTGCAAAGCTGGCAGGGGAAAGAACAAAGTCGAGCATCGCATCGGTGTTGGTCATGGTCCACGTCACTGCGGTAAATAACATGTCAAAACGTAGTGCTAAGTGTTCATTGCTGGTAACGTACCTCGGAATGCCACAAGTACCCAGGCAAGGTGGAGTGGATCCGTCAGCCAACCTAAGGTTCGACAGATTGCAGGGCTAGACATATTCTAGCACGAAAAAAAGCTTGATCAAGGTTCAAACATACCTGACCGCAGGAATGCAAAGTAGCAGCGCACAGGTGGTCGTTGTCTGCGTGCCCGATCACCTAAATAACGCGCTCAGTAGCTTTCCAACCGCGGTGAAGAGGATCTATCTCACCTTGGTACACTCATCTAGACATCCCTGTCTCCCGAAGAGTTTGCAAACTTGACCACAGAGATGCGCATCCACAACACATCTGAAAAGGGCGATTCCAATTGTGACGTCGTGTATGGATGCAATCATGAAAGGCTTACATATGATTGCCTGGATGTCCCGCTCTAGAAGCTTATCAGTCATTTACCGAGCAATTACATATATTGACTTACGGCATCGAGCAAGCTTTGGCCTCTCCAAATAACTCACAGAAATCGCAAGAATGTATGCAAACATGAGAAGTCTGGCAATTATGCTGTCCATCGTGCAATCTGCTCTGAACGCAGAGTAGCTCGCAGCTTGCACATTTCAGCTTGCACAGCTGCAAGTTGCTCTTTAAATCTATTATTGCACTGTCGAACGTTCTCATGAGCTCGCCGATGCTTGCTTGCCCGCTTTCAAAACGAGCGACGTTCGATGATATCCATTCGCGAACGTGGGCGACGCGCAAATTGACCAGACTGTCGATATGAGCGGTCAAATTCGCAATCCAAACAACATCCGCCACGTGATGGCGAGAATCATAGCCTTCCCATGCATGATACAGGACCTGCAGAGCGGCCTCGCGAGAAGAAGATTGCTGTCCCCCCGCCAACGAAAATTCCGACAAAGTGTCGGGCATGTCAATCGGGGCACCGTCATCCAGGTTCTTTATAAAAGTTAATCGCAATTCAAATCAAAGACAGTAGATGCATTTGATACCTTCAAAGGTTCCGAATCAGGATGAACCTCTTGCAGTCCATATGTCAGAGCGTTGGGCAACATAACTAAAAGAAGTTGTGCTCGATGCGAGGCCATCGATTCTGCGATGTATCGTCAACTGAACTGTTGATTCTTTCTAAATCTAAGAGTACCCACGTGAGAGAGCGCCCCAATCATTTGCCTGAGGATATTGGAATTAATGCCTTCACAAAATGTGCGGCGAATCAAGCGTACCTTCAGTTTCGCCATCAAGGTCTTCATCACGTGAAGGAACTCTCCTGCTGTATTATGAGTGAGTTTCTGCTTGTCCAATCGACGCTTAAGGGTTGGGAACAGCTTGTAAAATTCCTGCGACTCAATCACCGGCCTACAAAAACGATAAAAGTTATATGTAGACATGGACATAAGAAACACTGAACATACCATGGGACTATGTTCAACTGTCCGGCGTGAAGGCGAGAAATGAAGTTGGCCTCCTGTTCATCCTGGACAATCTTCTGAAACTTGAGAGCGAACCTAAGTGTCAACTTGAGTATGCGCTCAATAGGACATGGTCATAAATTTAAACATGCTCTTTAGTTATATCGTCTTTGTCTGAATCCACGACGTCCTAAAAAGTCGCCGAATTCAGCAATATGAAAAGCGACGGCCAGATGTGGAAAATCACTTTGATGATGATCACCAATGTCGATTGAAATAGACTCGGGTTGGCTGCTGGATCTAGAACAGTCGCACTCGACTGGAATGACTGGAATAGTCCTGTAATATCGCGGCTCAAGGCAAAGTTATTCCGGAATAGCACCTATGCAACGAGGTCAAGCTCCCATTTACTACAGCATAAAAGTGGTATCAAACCAAGTTAGATATTGCAGTGTTGAAAAGGACGAGCAAGGTATCTTCTTGAGTGGAACGCTCAATACTATGGACACCTTTTTGAGCGAGGATATCAACACAGAATGTCGCAAGGATGATTGGTTCAACATGCCTTCAAAATCTAAAGCAACCACAAGAGCATCATTGGTCGGAGTCACCGACATCCATACTCCTTCTGTCGTGCGCATTGCTGATCCAGCGAAAGATGTATCCAAGAAATGGTTCAAAGAAAAGCTCTTCCCCACCGATTGTTCACCCATAGATGACACGACTTTGACAGGCTTGACGTTGTGTCGGAAGTCAGTAGCTTTAACAAAGTATAGGGCATTCATACAATCCGCACCTTTTTGGCCATGTATGACTGGAACAACGATTCGTACCAACCAAAAGACAGGTGATCGACAATGCGGTTAACATCCGCGCCGAGAAGGGACTTCTCCAGCTGCGTAGAATACACCCCGTCTTTGAGTGGAATGAAACGATTTTCCTTTGTCACAGCGATTTGGATAGGAATGAGGCAGAGGAACTCTGCCAGCCACTCCCCAGCGCGAAATTTTGACACGTTCCACTCTGCACCTCCAAGGTGACTATTGTGAAAAGCAGAGTATGTCATTGAAGAGACATCAATTCTCTTGAGAAGATTTCCAGTTGGCTTCCTTGATGTCCTTTCAAAGGTTGAAATAAGATCATGAAAGTGCGGCACGAATTTATGATGGTCCTGATCGGTAATGACCACGAACGCTCGCTGACACCTTGTACTAGACGATGTAATCGTTTCCCGCTGGATGGCGGTAAGAACCGGGAAGCGAGTCCATACTTCGGCGTGACAATCAATGAGACAGCTGTGGGCAGCTACGTTCCCTGATTTTTCTTTCCCTCCTCGGGTGTCCTTTGCTTTGAAGGTGAACTCTGTCGTTTTCCGGGTGATATCAAGAGCGATGGACCGACATGATTGGGTGTCAATCTCGAGTGTGACCAAATGCACGATATTACGGTTAGTCAGCGACGTCAGAAGCAGTGGCTGGTCCGATGGAAGATCAGGGATCTCGAGCGGTATCCCATCCGTTGAGCCGAAGGTGCTCCAGTGGTAGGCGGTCAATGTCAAGTTAGACCCACGTACATGAGCCGCGATTAAGCAAGAACCATCTGGCGTCGAGTAAACTGCCGTTGGAATCTGTTTGAGATTGAGCGTTGCAGGCCTGTGATATATAAATCAGATGTCTTGCACTGGCACTCTTGTGCGCGCGAAGTCTGACCTGAACTGCATCGTCGTCAGGGAGTAAACTCTGGCTTGTGCCGATGAATCAACGAGCAGCAATTCTTCGCCGCCGCAGATGAAAGATGCATGCTTAATGGAGGTCCCTTCAGGATACCATTGCGTCAAGTTGATCGCACTGCCGTTGGCCTGGAAACCGATTCGAGTATCATCGTAAACGTAGATGTGTAACAAGAGCTGGTTGCGTATTCATTAGCCAAGCGAAAGCAGATTCTTAGTAGAACGAACCTTCTCTGTGGCAACAACGCTGAGCACACGCTTCGACTCATCAAAAGCTAGAACGAATTCGCCAATTTTATCGCGGTTCAGCTTCTTCCCGCGGCCGCCGTGAGCCAAGGCGCCCTCAATAGCAGTGAGGTGTTCCAAATACACCGTCAGATTTCCAGACCGATCAGTCGTTGCGAGAAAGATCTTCTCGCCTGGAAGCAGCTGCGCTCTCCTGGAAATCACGACGCAATTCTGCATTGGTCATATGTAGGAGTCGAATTGCCAAGAGCACTTACACCACTGAATGACCCATGCATAACTTGAACGAGAACGGATTCCTGAACTTTGGTGAAGGGATCGTGCTGGAATCCAACTGCAAGGAATGTAAATCCTGCGTTGTCAATTGCATGGGGTGAACCGTGAATTTCAGCTTTGGCTCCTCGAAAGATTCCCTTGAACCAGTTATTTGCACCGAAGACGCTACTGGAGAACATGTCATTGGCATTCAAAACCAAAAAAAAAGGCTTGGCACACCAAGGTAATAGCCTCGTCCGTTCTCAATGGCATTGATAATAAAGGTGTGCCTGCCGATTTATGAATACAGTCAGGCAGAAACATGGTAAAATCACATACGAATGAGAGCCCGCCTGTGAATGGGCATTGATTTCAGCGATGAACCTCTTTCGTGATTCAGCCAGTTGTCGCTCTTCACTGCTGAACGCTTCTCTGTGAGCTTGGGCAACACATGTATTGAATTGTATGCGCAGCGCCGTTTGAGTCAAAGCTGTTGTTTGCATCGTTAGAAGTGATCTGAAGTGCTCCAAGGCAGCAGCCCTGATATTCGCGACGACTGTTTTCATGGCAGGGAGCTTCTCGATGTCATCCAATCCAGCGAGAAACCCAGTGTCACTGATAGCAGTTGCGGCAGCCTCTGCATCTTTGAGTGTCTTATCGACGAACTGGGAGTCTTGTACAGACGAGATGAGGGAATTAATACCACTCAAAGCGTTGTTTATTAATCCCTTCGACTGCTGATGCGGGGCAGCATTTTGTGCTATCTTCCTGACCGATTCCTTGACGTGCCGCATGTCCTTGTGAAGGATGACATTCAAGCAGTCTTCGTCGATGTCGGGAAATTGACGAAGTAGGTTTTGAGCGATATAAACTCGTTCCTTGTAGTTCTTGAAATCACGACTGTTAACCTTCCCGGTGCACAACTTTTGCACCGTGTGACGAAGTTCTTCCCCTATTTCCGGATATAGTTCAATGATAGCTGGAAGTTGATCTAGATGACCCCCGTCATTATGGCCTAACTTCACTACGTAGATATACAAGTACCTTGGACCTCGGAGCTATGCTGCGGGCTCGCCGTGAAATGAGGAAAAGAGCCATCGGGTATGCTTGGTGAATGAATCAGAAATGGATGAGGATGTTTCAAGTGTAACTCACGAAGGAGCAATGGCAGGTCCAACCGGTCCTGGACAGACTGTTATTATCAGAGGAATTGATTGCACAGACAACATACCTTGCGTAATAGGGTAGCCCTGCTTGCTGACGGTGGGGCAAGGGAAGGAATCATGAGCGAATGTGCTGAAGGAATCGATTTAGAGAGACAAGAGAGAGCGATGTGAAAGGATGCTCACGGAATTTTCTGAATGATGGCGTCACCCAATACTCTGTGGAAAATGCGAGTCAGAAGGGGCGAGTCATTCTCCAGGTTTGTCCTGATATTGGCCTCTGTGGATGTGTTGGTTGTCCTGAAATTCGATGAAATATCGGCAGACTCTTGCTGCCATTGATTGCACAATTGCGGGAAGCGATTCCAAAGGCCTGCATCCAGTAAAAGGCGCACTGCATTGAAATCTAGGTTCTCGTTTATCCGCAAACTGTCGTTATGCCTGCGGAGGTATCAGTTTTAATCCAGGAACAGGCTATGAAGAGTAACACGCACAACCAATCGCCTAACTGGAGGCGAGTAATCGACGTGCGCTTCAATGGTTCAGTGATCCGCCTGGTGGGCAGATAGCTGGTTGTCATGAACGCTTGAGTAATCTCGCCGTGTAACAACCAAGGCTTATGCAGTTCGACATCCACTGGTGCCTCTGGGTGAGGCTTAGGCATGGCTATGTAATCGGACGTAGCCTACATGCAGCTGTCAGCACTGCACCAATGATGATGAATTGGACAAACCCTGAATCCAGGACGTGGTTTTATGGCCTCTTCCTGCTCGTTGGTTTTCCTGACTTCAAACGTGAACATTCTATCGGACTCGTCTTCGTTTTCGTCCATTTCCATGGTGTCTTCGCCTTCCTGTTCAATACATACAACGGAGCGGGCATGTTCGGGGGAGATAAGTGCCACGACTTGATCACACATCGTCGTAAGGTATCTGTTGTCATGTGTCAAACAATATTTACTGACAATCAGGAAGGATAAAACGAACCGCATGAAGGTAACACGGGTGCGTTTCACGGAGGAAGGAGCTGAGTCATCCCAAGTGCTATCCTCGGGCCAGTAGACGACGAACAGTTGTTCATCCGAGGTAGTTTCACCATTTGTTCGGACAATGTAAAGTCCAGAACGAAGGCTTGGCTTTGAAATGCTGGACTCGCTGTGGTTCGCGACAAGCTGTGCTGCTCTACATGAAAGGTTGATTAGGACGTCGACCCGCAGCTGGAACTTAGTATCTCACATGCGGTCGTTGACAACACCGAGAGACAACAAGAGTCGCACTATCTCCTCTTTACTCCCATAAACGCCAATAGGCTTCACAATTAGGCCATCCAACGCGTTGAAGTTGACGTTCGTCATAGACACATATGCACCGGGACTAATGGTATTGGTGAATGTCTGGAGTGAATCTTGCGCAATGATGATTTTGTCCACTAGGAGCAGTCAGCGAATGACGGCTGAGCAAGGAGAATGGTGTCACCTAGCCCATCGCTCCCTTGTTCACTCATTAAGTCCAGGACCCGATACATCCTTTTGATTGACTGGACAAGGTCACGAGCATCATTGTGAGGAAGGGAGTCTTCCACGTCCATCTGACAAAGAAGAGATTCCAGCCTACATCACGAGGACCATGAGAAAAGAAAACATACATGATCTTCTCCATCATCGGACTTTGCGGATTGATACAATTCATCATCAGTGTCCTCAGACACGAGGGGCCCACGATCTTTTTGATCACCTTTCGATAAGTGTGCTGGTGATGCCATCCCGTTAACACGATGCGGATAGGAACGTGGATCACGGGAAACAGGTTTCACATCCTGCGGCGAGTAAGATGTGGGGTTCCAGGTGGAAACGCGCTGATGCTGGCTCGTAAGTTGGTCCAAGCCAGGCAATTTACTCTCTGTACGTGTGCTTCCAAGTATATTCATGTGGTCTGCAGCTTCATGGGCAGCTCGACGTTCCGCATCCGTCGATTGGGGATCAGCACCTTCTTCCACACCAGAGGTGATACGTCGAACCTGCGCCACACCAGAACCTTCTTCCACGCCAGAGGTGATGTTTTGAATTTGCGCGACTACCGGATGGCGACCACCTTCTTCCATACTAGGGGTGATGTGTTGAACCTGCACGATTATTGGCTGGGGACCAGGATCTGCTTCCACACCAGAAGGTGGATTCTGAACCTGCGCGATCATCATGATTCAGACAATGCAGAAATTGAAGCGCGAGTTTGAGGACCTACCTCGATATGTGGAGACAATGTTACGCCTGCATGATTGACGTCTTGGGCAGGGTCGTAGCTGCGGGAAAGTCTGAAGAACTTTCGTACAATCTCAGCGCCTGATTGATTCCTGTACGACTCAACTCCTCATCGACTTACTGAAAATTTTCTAGTTACACCTTTCCTGACCTTCTGTAGCAAATGAAGAGTGTTGCCACGGGGCCTTGCCTGGAAGGTGGCGTCTCAGCAGTCATCAATTTCGAAAATAAATCACTTACAGAGGTTTCACCAATTGCGGTTGCGTCGCTGACGGCTTCTGGAAGAGGTTGTAGCCTCGAATATCTTCTACGAGAATTGAATACATCTTCGTTCATCGTGAACTACCAATTGAAGGTGTATGTCAGTAGTAGGTTTGAGGAGAACGCAAGGTCGCGTCTAGAAGCGCCTACACCGTTGACCATAAGCACTCCCACGACTGAATTAAGCTAATCTCTTTGATCATTTCACAAACATGGACGGTATCTTTCACTTCAGGGGCATGCAGTGCTGTGACAATGACACATTCAATTTGTGTGTTTCGACCTGTAGTAACATGTTCCATCAATCAATTGCCCACAATTGACTTCACATTCTTGGCTTAATTAAACGGCGCCGAAGATATAGATCTGAGGAAGGGTGGCACACCAAGTCAAATAGTTTGATGTAGGCTCGTAACCTGTCTCTGTGCGTTAATTCGAGATGTTTTGGCCATGACGGTATACGCCAGCCTGATGATATCACGAACCTAAGTTTGATGGTTCGTTGATGTACTAGTAGTACTAGTTGCTTGTCTAGGGTCCAGCTTGATCCAGCCTGGGCTTCGCAGTAGGATTACTAGTAGTAGTAGGGCTTCGAGTGGTTTAAATGTCCGCTAGTGACTCAATGCAAAGGCGGTTGATCCCGCAGAAGCAATCCGTGTGACTTTCAACATGTGCGCGCTAAACTTGAACTCTGCAAATGTTCTTCGGTCCAGGCGCTACGAAATTCGCACAACCTTTTTGCTCATCGTGGACATCGACCATCAGACCTGCTCCCCTAATACGTTCGCATAAATGTTGGCTACGGCGACCATGCTCGATCTCGACTTCACTTGGAGTTTAACGTTCAACACCATAGCACACCATATTTCAAATACATTATGAATGTAAATAGAACAGAGTTCTTACAGTGGTGGACCGCGGAAAGTGTCACCTGCGACAAGGCTTGTCATGCTCCAATTGTCCGCCAGGGATCAACATGCATACTCGAAACTCACTGAGACATTCATCCCAGCATGATTCTAGGTTTTGTGCACCGGACGCAGGGCAGGCAGGTGGCATTCATCGCTGCGATATCAGCGTCAGCAATCCTATTTATCATGTGGGCAAAGATAGTTATCCAGTCTTTGATTGGTCGTCGCCCAAGAAGCGTACTTCAAGTGTGTAAGTCCTGGTGTCACCCGGTGACCTCACAAAGTCCTCGAGGACCACATGACATAATGTCATTTCAAGGTTGTGAATGTCGATGCTGTGCAGCAATTGACGCCAGGTTCGCCAGCACGCTATATTACCGATCTACCAGGAGCATACTTGGGTCAGCCCTGCATTGTGTAGGCCTCAGCCTTGCGTACGAGGAACCTTGTTCGTTGGGTGGTTGTCAGACTGGAACCGTCGTCGTTGCACCGAGACAATGACAATTTTTCCTGATAATTGAATGGTTCACGCGCACGTACTGTGGCAGCGTGTGCCAACAGTTATTGCTAATCTGATAGACGCCAATATTATGACATACCTAAGTTATGTAGTGAATATGGACGAGGCCCTGGGCGTTTACGTCGGATGGTGAATCATGGTGGTTGGTGTCCAAGTTGAAATGGCAAGCGCCACGACGTCAATTTAACCGACGACCACCAAGCCGCTCCTTCTCCATTCCACTCTCTTTAGGATCGTAATTACTTTAGCAGTGCAGTCATGCACCGCCGAAAGTCCAGCAAGGAAGACGTGGACGACGGAGATACGTTTGTCCTCATTCCCGATGATGAACCAACTACGGCGCCTACGTTGACAGCGGCGCCTGGTAGGCATCGTGTTCCTGCGCTGCCACAACTTGGTCCAGGAATACCAGCAAGGCAACCACCAGTCAGACGTCCACCTAGTATCTCCCTCAATTCACCTCCTAGTTCACCCTTCCGTGCATCACATGCCCGGGTACGAAGCATATCCTCAGGTCCATTCGTACCTCCCGTATCATCTCCGCTTGCAAATACATTCCATGTCCCACTTCATCCGTTTGAACCGGACTCGAGCAATGATGCCGCAGATGGAGGCAGAGGCCACGGACGAAGACACTCCCGAATGCATTCCCGTAACCTGTCGATATTCTTTCCCCGCCCGCACGCAACCATTTCTGAAGATCTCCCCTCAGATGTTGAATCTGCCCCAAATAACAGATCCCAATCCCAAATCGACCTTCATATACCCGTATCTCAAAGCGAGCCCCTTCAAATCGGGCATGACCGTACCGCTTCTTTTTCATTCGGCTCCTCGGGCACCATGCCAAAGTCAGACTCCACAGGAGCAGTCCCAGCTGGCGTGACAGCACGTAGAGGGCATCATCATAAGCATTCTCTCTCTCATAACTTCTTTTCTTTTCTTGACCCTTCCCGTCAATCACAACCTGAAGCCAAACCCGAGGAATTGCATACGGCACCTACGCCTGCTCCAATGTCTCCCTGGAGCCCGGTGAGCAACATCCAAGGCGGTGAGAGCGTAAGCTCTAGCAACGCCGATCTCACAACAGGCACTAGTTCTCGCTCAAACTCTGCGTCTCCAGCACCTTCTCCTTCACCTTCTCAGACCAACTTCTCGTGGAATCTAAGCAAAAACGGGAATTTGGCACGAGTTGCATGCGTGCTGCAGTTCTGCTTGGGCGCCTTGGTCTGGGTGCGCGGTCAGGCTATTGGGTCGTTGGCGTGTACAGGCCTGGGGTATTGGGTCGTGTTCGACGCGTTTGGAATAGCGGTGGGCGGGCCTCTTCTTGGGATGGGCAAGGGTGGCTTTGGGTGAGTTTTGTTCTTCGGTCGCTTCAATGTATACACCACTTTATTCGACGCGTCATGTGTGCGCAAGTGCGCATATATTCATGTTCCCTTCGCATACATCCATCTCCTATCCTTCCCCTCATTACCCACCCAAACTAACCCCTCCGACAGCCCAGCACGCACGCAAACAACCCTCCTCTTCGCCCAATGCGTCTACCTCATGTTCGCAGGCGTATACGTAGCCAAAGAAGCTGTCGAACATATTCTTCTTTCTGCGGGACACGGTCATGGACATGGCCGCCCTTCTCCCTCCCCTTCCTCCACTGCGTCAAGTATAACACGGAATGCATCAACTTTGGCTCTGAATGCAGCTGGAGGTATCACAAGAGGCCTGGGTCTGCACGGCGCAGGTGAGATGGGGAATGATGGGCATCATCATCATCGGGGTGATGAGAGGCCTGATATGTTGGGGTACGTCACTTTTCTTGTTTGATTTTGTCTGATGCTGATGGATTCAATGTTTCTTTTCGTGTTTTGGTCTGGTCTTCCCCGTGGTTCTTGGTCTGCTTCTTGTGCGCGGGATCTGCGTGCTTGCGTCTCACACAATCCTTCCTACGCCAACTGCAGACTGCGCTACCCGCTCGGTCTCATCATCATCGTCCTCCTCTCGCTCCTCGTGACTTCTTTTGTGTTTGAGCAGCATGATGTGTTGGTAAAAAGTGTGTGTTTCCGTTCATCCCTCTTTTCACATGGTTCTTGTTGTTTTCTATCTATGCTACTCATTGTTCGTTCGTTTAATTTATTTTTCTCGGGATTGGGTGCGCAATGATGTTCATGGAATGTGTTTCTGAACTCTGATTATATATGCATTCTGACGCGCAACCCTCCCCTTTACGTCTATATTCCTTAAACCTCAACTAACACCTCCCACCAGTAACGAACAAACATATCCACCTCCCATCCCCCTTCTCTCTATTCCAGCGCTCCCGACTCCCATCATTCCCGGCAAGTTCACTCTCAGACAGACAGGCGCCATGGGAGAGAATACTGAGGAATCCGTATGCTCTTCCTCCAATTCTGTTCTGTGTTGCGATTCTGGGGGGCGAGATAGTTTTGAATGTGTGAGTACTTTGTCTTCGTCCTCTTGACACAACAACCTGATGCAAATACGCTCCTTCATCCTTTATTTGAATACTTTCATTTATGTCATCTATGGCGGCTCACTATTCACTGCAGCGCACACTACACACCCTTTGACCTTTCTTTAGCAACCCTCCAAGTCATCATCACCACACGCGTCGCGTACACAGCATGTATAGTCCTAGGCGGCGTATTATTGCAAACCGCACCTGCAGCATCGTTCTCCATGAGCGCTGGCGGTATCAGTGGTATCGGCAAGGGCGCGAACAGTAGGGGCATAGGCGCAAAAAGCATGACAAGCGCAAAAGGCACCAACACTTTAGAAACAAAAATGGAATCCTTCTGGCACGTCGTCCGCGAAATCGAAAGACATGAGCACGTCACGAGTCTTCCTGCTCCACATGTGTGGCAGGTGTGTCCGCCTGGACAGACATCTTTTGGGCAGGGGGAGACGAGGTCTTCTGTGTCACGGTCTGCGTCGCGGTCTGCGTCACGCGGGTTTGCGTCTGCTTTACGGTCTGCTTTCTCACCCTCTGATTCCTTCCCTTTTTTCGATGCGGTGAGAGGGCCGGATGCTGCTACGGAACCGCAGTTGATGATCACGCTCTCACCGCACGTGCGGTCTTCGTTGCGTGATGAAGAGGTGTTGAAGTTTACGCGGTGGGCGTGTGAGCGGGTTAGAGGAGCGTTCGTGGGTGATGGAGCCAGGGGACATGGGATGGAGGTGGAGGTTTGTGTGGGTGTTCTTAGGGGGTAGGTTTGCGGGTGTGGTAGAGGTGCATGAGAGGAGGTCGCAGTGCGATATACCAAAACTTCTATGTTTCTACCTTTCCCAGTTACGCTGAATACCCTTCTGATTCTGACAGCCCGAGAATTGCAAAGATGTAGGGCCAATTGTTGCCGCGTGCATGCAAGAGAATGGGATGATGCAATGCAATGATCGATCCGGTACTCGTGATGCCCTGTTTAATTTTGTTCGGAATGCGACGCGGTGACTTGTCCAAAGCGACTCCGCTTTGTGTCACTACGCTGGGAACGCCGGTTAACAAATGGCCAAGCCGAGTTTCAAATTCCAGGCTTTTTAATGGGCACCATATTTCTAGCATGCATTTGACTTGACTAAATATAGGATCAAAAGCTTCACTACTATGACTGTAGCGTGTCATTGTAGCGTGCCGCAGGATCAATCGATCACGGATCCCAGGCACCCACGTATAACTTCCCATTTGTCATGGTACGGTGACGACGACTGCACCCTATGACACGCCGAGAAAAAGTAGCACGTTAAGGGCGAGGCTGAAGCATTGTGGCACACGACCATGTCTCACCACGCACCCCATATCTGGCAGGTGTGTCCACTTGGACATTGATCGTTTGCGACGCGATCATCTGCGTGTGCGTTCACGGTATGCTGTTTCCGCCTCCGCTTCCGCCTCCGACGAGCGATTCCCTCTTTCCACGTCAAGATACATTCCCTTTCTTCACCCACCTCCTTCGAGTTTTGCGAGAATTGAATGTGTCCACCATGTCAACACTAGCCGGATTCAATGCGACAGCCTTGAATTCACCGTGGCCACACTCCATATCACTCGCTTGTCATGGTAGATGCTAAATATCAATGTCCGGGAAAAATACACTGGTAGGGCATTCATGCCGATTGATTCATATTAGCTACAAGATACAAGATGTCCTTTTGACCCACTCCCGCCTTGTCATGTCGACAGTCGGTCTTCATTCTTTGTTTTGTTTGACGATGAGGCACTGTCATCTTGAGTAAATTGGGATATATGGACCTCCATGGGCTTCATAGGAAATTGTTGCAAGTCTCCCTGTTCCATCCTCTCGGTCGTTCGTCTAGTACTGGCAGTCGAGAGATAATGTCTACTGTTGATCGTGATGCGAATCAGGACCATGTAGAAGGTGATCGATATGATAGGCACGACCTAGTCAAGCGGCGCTCAGTATATCTATATTCATGAAAAGTGTAAACGGCGTAATCACCAAGTCCGACAAAATAGCTTCTCCACTGGTTTTGGTGAGGAAACTAATCAGAAAGCCGACAAGTACCACTGAATACAAAACAGCGGCATCCACAAGCACGCGCACAATTGGCATAATAGTGCTCTTCGTAACACGCGCTCTAGAGACGTCTCGTTCGATTTTCCAGATGCGATATACCAATAATCCTGGACAAATTCAGAGCCTCGACATCGTGCTCGCGGAAATGTACTACTTACCTGAACACACCAAATTAGTTGAAAGTGTCGAAGAGAAGAATGCTATGATCCACTCCTCAACGTTTGTGGCGAAGACGTCTCCGGGATTAGAAATGGCTTGCGAATTACCGTAGACGGCACGAATTCCAGTCGCTGCAAGGCAATAATTAGATTACACGACTTGCGGAGTATTTTTGCAACCTGACCTACGATGCTACACCACAATATACTTGGTAGGATGATAATCCGGATGGATTGCCAAAGAACATAGCAGCGATAAACCTTTTACAAGACAAGGCACTTCCATAAGCCTCGAGAGTCTGAAACTGGCAGAGAAAAATATGAACGTACCATCACCGCATCAGCAAGTACGGTTTGTAAAATTAATAACCCATGTTTTATCACATATGTTTCTGTGGTAACGTCCGCGAAGAACGCTGCCGGCCCGCCTGACCACGTATCGCGATACCTCACCAGTCCATTTTCGAGGTGGATAATGGTCACAATTATGTGCTTGAGAAACGTCAACCGACGACACCACATGCAATAAGCCATAAACTAACCACAGTGCTCACTAACAACAGCATGATGGCCACTACCGCGATTGGGCGATTGACATCCTGCATCTGACGTTTGTAGGTCAAAGCCCAGATGGTACCGACGAACATGAGGACTGAAAACCCTGGAGAGGTGACCCTAGCTTGGTGAGCACAGAACGGAAAAACCCATTACGATACTCACCATATAAAATGCATTCCAGTGCTCCTGACATTATAGCGCTGATATCCGCAGTGAAACCAGCCATACCAAGTCTACAGTCCAGTTAGAAGATATGTGAAAGTGTGAGCATCTGCGCCAGTTTCTGAATATCGTTATATATGTCATCGTGTCAGAAATTGCACCAATTCACCCGCCATGAGGCGGGGCTTGGTAATGGATATGATATCGTGGCGACATCCGGTCGCTGTATCATGGTGCATCGCTTTCGTCTATCGATTGGTCCGCCGGATGCTATGAGGCTAGATATTTTTGGTAATAGTTGCAGGAGTTTTGAACGATTGTCTTCAATATGGTCTCAATAGGGCGAATAGGGTAAATGAGGTCACCCTTGGACAGTCATGCATTCATGTCTCTGGTACCTGTTGTATAGTAAGCCTACTTGCCAACGGATAAAAGCATAGAACATACACTCACTGTCTAGTGATACATAGATATCTCAAGAATATCCCACGCAATCCTGTGCATTCGGAAGGTGACCTCGAGCATCAGAAGTAGAGAAACGATCCGAATTCATTACCTGATCGGAATGGGCGTGCACCCACGGAACGGAGGGCACAAAAGTTAACCATAGGCACAATATCTGTGCTGAGGCGGCAAGCGTCCGTCATATGTAAATATGAATGTAGAACATACATATAACCAACTTAACACCGAAGCCACGCAAAAGTACAAGAGTAGGACCTGTAGGGTTGCAGATTGGGCCTGTACTCAAATGAAGTGCGTTGGCTAACGTTTTGAACGACCTTCAAAGCGCATCAAAATATCCACGCCCAAGACTGAACCACGGGAAATGGTACCTACTATGGCATCTCTTTGTCCACGCACTCGCATCATGTTTAAAGAGAACGTCTGATGATGGGGCTTCGGTCTATTTGTACACTGTGTCATGAGGTGTGCCTATGTGCGTTGGCTACCACATCCGGGTCATTCTGCTTGAGTGCATCTTTGGCGTGTACTGGCTTAGATATCACTAAGGCAGTCTTTGACGCTTTCGGCCACAACTTGCGGTGGGTACCGACGCTCCTTCTTGCAATGAAAGGCGGTTTTGAGCGAGTTTTGTTTTGTCCAGTCTCCCCTAGGAGGACCAAAAAAAGGGAATGCGTGTTCGAACGCAAATAGCCAGACTATAACAGATCTTGAGAATAAGGCCTGCAGGAGTGAATAAAGTATCGGATAAAGTGACGCGCCAACGTCGTTGGCTGGGAATACTCACCTTTTAGGAAATGCCGCCGGCGTCAAAAACGCTGTTCCTGGGACCTAACATGATCTACTTACATTTCTATCCTACGTGGTGACTGTTGAGTCGTGCGGTACCAGTGAGGTATTCGCATTGCTACAGTGAATTCGTGGAGTAAATAACATCCTTGGAATAAAATTAGAAGTACAGAAATCTCTGAGGAAAAGCGCGAAGTACACTAGAACTTCCTAATAGCCTAGTAGGGCGGCATTCATGCCAAATCAAGATTGACTACACGCTGTCAGATGCCCCCTCGCATGTCGATGGCTTGTCTTCATTCCCTACTATGGACGCTGACGTCCTGTCCTCGTACGTAACTTGGGATATATGGACCTGCAAGGGCTTCACAGGAAATTTCTGGGAGGTTCCATGTCCCATGCCATTGGTTATCCCTTTCGGGACAGTCGGGAATATACTGTTATTTTCTCTATTGATTGCGATGCGAATAAGCACCATGTAGAAGGCAATCGATATGATCGGCATGACCTAGTAAAAAAAAAGCTCAGTTTTTGTCCACAACAGGAGTAAACGGTAGAATCACCATGTCCGTCAGTACAGCCTCTCCATTGTTTCCGATGAGGAAACATATTAGCAGACTGAAGAGCACCACAGAGTGCAAAACAGCGGCATCCACAAGCACGCGCACGATTGGCATCATAGTGCTCTTCGTAGTACGCATTTTAGAGGATACGCGGTCAGCCATCCAGATGCGATATACCAGTAATCCTGGACATATTCAGAGCCTCGACATCGCGCTCGCAGAAATGCGCTTACCTGAACACACCAAATTAGTTGAAAGAGTCGAGGTGATGAATACCAAGATGTACTTCTTGAACTCTGGGGCGAAGACGTCTAAGACATTACCGACGGCCTGCGAATTATTGTAGATCGCATGAACGCCAGTCACTACCAGGCAGGCAATGTCAGATCATACAACTTCCTGAGCATTATCGCACCCTGACCTACAATGGTACACCACATCATCATAGGAAAGATGATGACCCGGACAGATTGCCAAACAATGTAGCAGCGGTAGACCTTTTACCAGACAAGGCACTTCTATAAGCTCAGAGGGTCTTAAACTCGCATATAAAAATATGAACACACCATCACCCCATCAGCAATTACAGTTTGCGAGACGTATAATGTATGCTGTATCAGATATGTTTGTTCCGTAACGTCTGAGAAGAACGCCGCTGGCCCGCCTGGCCATGTGTCGCGATACTTCACAAATCCCTTTTGGAGACGGATGATGGTCATGACCATGTGCTTGAGAAACGTTAGCGGATGACATCACATTAAGAAGTCAGAAACCAACCATAGTGCTCACTAAAAAGAGCAGGATGGCGACCACAGCGGTCGGGCGATTGATGTCCTGCATCTGACGTTTGTAGGTCAAAGCCCAAATGGTACCGATAAACATGAGAACTGAAAAACCTGGAGAAGTTAGTCAGACTTGGTGCGTTTGGGAGACGGACAAACCCATTGAGATCACTCACCATATAAAATGCCTTCCAGCACTGCTGACATTAAGGCGCCGGTATCCGGTGGGATACCAGTTGAAGACATATCGAATCTACAGTTTGGGAAATGTGCGAAGGTGTAGCATCCTTTGACAGTTTCTGTAAATCGTTATATAGGACATCGTATCAGAAATTGTATCCACTGACGAGAATCGGATCTCGAAAGCTGTATCATGATGCACTACGGACAGGTTGATACTGTCATGAAGGTATTTGCAATAAAGAATGACTAACTTTAGATCCTTCCAACATGACGCCCTTGGGCAGTCATTTCTCTGGTAGTACCTGTTGCATTGAACCCTGCAGATGACATTCACAACAATTGTATCTATCCTTCGTTCTGGCTACTTACAAACTGCCAACAAGGATAGAAATTCAAGAATATACACTCACTGTCTAGTGATACACATTCGGGGAAATATCCCACGCATTCCTGTGCGTTCGGATGGTAACCTTGCCTATCAGCAGTAGAGAAGAGGTAAGATCAATCACCTAATCAGAATGGGGGTAGCCCTAAAGCACCGAGGGCACGGAAGTTCACCAGAAGTGCAACATATAAGCACATGTAGAACATACAAATAAACAAATCCGAGTCGTAGCCGCGCAAAAGCACACAAGTAGGATCTGTAGGGATAAAAGATCAAATGTGGATTGGGGCTAACGAGAGGACATATAGGAAATGCCAGTCTGTCTGCTGCGTAGACTCCATGACATGTGAGTCGAGGGACATGTCTTGGCTAGCGCTTGGTCGGAAAGTTCCGGGCGCTGTTGTCACTGACGTGCGCATCAATCGCCGCCACTGCGATCTTGGCATCCCTTAGTCTCCCCTAGCCAGACCATATAGAAGGAAGACAGTCGTTCCTTCTTGATTATGGGCATCCCTCAACTCTGCGGAACGCCACGCCCAACGAGACAGGGAAAAGAGGATTGAATGTCAGCCACTGGAAGTTGATATCAAAGCTCCACCTTCTTTGCTGTTGAATGTATCCGCTAATGTGGTCACCCCCCCTCTCCCCGTTCCGCGTACAACAGAGTCTATCCTAAAGTACTCCTTCCAAAGATGACACATGACGTCCAAGTGCACACAGCCAAGAAAATGCGATTTGGCGTCGGAAGCAGGGAGTATTGGGGAGTAGCCATTACTTGCTGAATACAATAGTTAATCACTATGAGAGAACGAGGGTAGCGTTGAAAGGGCTCACTGAATCTCAACTCAAGTTACTCAATTCAAATCATCAAGCCTGCATTGAGAAAAGACCGATGCATGGTCACTGATGCCCTTCACGCTTGATACAATTGAATGACACTGAAATTTTTTGAAAAACGCCTACTACTAGCGGCCTAGGCATCCTTATCGGGCGCGAGTGACTTGGTTTTGACACTCCGACTCAACACCAACTTAGATTCTAACATATTACTACGAGTCAGTCTCCAGTTGGGGAAGACATGATAGTCGGCCCTCTGCACGAACAAATTTCTAGTGTGTACAGCCTATCGATGTCACTCGAGTCATCAGTGAAACTTCTATGTCTTGAACACAAACACTCTCGCTTTGTGCGGCCAACCTTGAGGCATAAGGATCCATGAGCGCCTAAGAGGTTTCCTTATCAGAGTGGCTAAATTTCACCGTCAGAGCCGACTCTTCTCTCATCCCATTTATCCCAATAACATGGCTCAATCTTCAAAAGATCAATCTAGTCTGGAATACATCATCAACCATGTATTTCTTCCCCTCAAGCTGCCGCAAGGAAGTGATCATTCCCTTGAGAATGACCTGGCCTTATCTCGGGAAGTATTTGGTGCTGCTCTCGCCTTTAGGGACCAGCTGCCGTATAATAAGCTACTGCTTTGGACGAGCAGCGTTAAAATGCTGCGCAATCTCAAAGATTCAATCAGATTCAGCGTGATGTCTGCACAGGAAGTAGAATCTCAAATCAACGCTATGGACAACAAAGGTCTGCCACCTTCATCTCATTTGCGTTTTTCCATGCTGAGTATCAAATTTCAGATGTCCTTGTATATATTATTCGGGCGCAAAACGCTGCGGTGGTCATGAGAAGGCTCAAATCCGAGACCATATTCGAATCATTTGAGGTCTCTCCTGACCCCACCGCAGTGATGGGCGCAAAGGGAAAGCTGATCTGTTCTTATCCAGGACCTGCTGTCACAGTCCCAGACATGAACATCGACAATGCTACCTTTTCTGCCGAGCTGGCGAATTTTCTCGTTTGCATGGATCGAGATGTCCTTGATGCGGCAGCGACGAGGAACAAAGCCAATTCCACTGTTCTAGAAGAGAGGGACACAACGCATCCCCGTTATATCACAGAACTCCTGACCGGGATACTGCGTGGCCTCGGTAGCATCGCTGATGTTCCTCGCATCCGCAAGCGCATTGGAGATGATGTACTGTGGGACAGCGCGAAATTGCCGTGGAGGCGGTCTCCACTTTGGCTTGTCATTCGTGTTGCCTTACAGACGACTTTGGAGCGCAGTGCTCTAGGACGAACGACGTATAAATCGTTCATGCTGTTCTTTATGGCGAGGCTCACGAACATTGTCATTGAACGTAACTTTTCGAATGACATCTTGCACTTCATATCGACAAAGATCGCGCGCCGCCTTTTCAAGCTTGGATCTTCCGCTTCTCCGGAGGTATCGCGGATAGCCAGCACGGTCACCAGGGATGTAAGGAGTATCATGGAGGAAAGATGGACATCCATTCAATATGCGCAGCTAGCCTCACGTCATTGGGCTCCCCAGAACCTCCGATTCTCGCGAGATACCCATCTTTCCTTGAACACAAGCCGAGAGTACATACTCCAAGCTTTGCAGAACCAGCATTCATCCCCTCAACCATCCCCATTCAATCCCAGCCATCATGTGCGCGGGTCAATCAACGATTTCCTTGACGCTGATGCGAGCTTCCTGATAGCCGCTCATGCTGCAGCACCGTCTCTTGCCCTCGCAGACTTCGAGACTGCCACTAGATCAGGGATTGATGGCTGGGTAGCGCGCGTGTCACTTCAGAGCATCGATGCCGCATGTGTCGTGATTGAGGCGTGCGCCTCCGCGTACTCCTCGAGAGCGTTGAAAGCTTACAGCGGAAATCCGGAGAATTTGTCGATCATGCTTCTCACACTTTTCGAGCTCTGGGTAGCCATGGATAAGCTCGTTATTACCCAAATGCCACTCGTGAGAGAATACTCCCCCGAAATCCCATTGAACATTTGGGAGTGGCTTTTAATCCGCAAATATTCTGCCCTCGATCGTTTGAAGATATTGCACACCCACCTGAAAGATCGTCACTACCATGCTTCCAGAGATCTGTCGGCGTTCTCGCTTACCAACGATAGCAGGTCGTTCGCAGCGCGATATTTTGACCAGTCACCGAAGCTGCAGAATTTGAAGGATCGCATCGAGGCGGATGCCCGGAATCAGCGGAACAGGAAGTTGACTGAACTTCGGACCCTCAACAAGAGGTACAGTGACTTAGAGAGGAGCGCAGCAAGCTTATCGCACAAATACGATGTCAACTCCCGCGGCGAGGATTACCACGATAAATGGCAATGCCAATTGTGCCGCGTGGAGAGGGAGATGCGATCCATTACTATTACAGTTCACGAATGGCCGCTACCAGAGCGTGAACAGGAGGCGATCGTGGTCGTATTTGAGCTAGCGTGCCCAATTGCATTCGACATGTGGAGATGTATGACATTCCACATCATCGTTGATGTCTGCACTCCAGAAAAGATTCCACCCACTGATCCCTTCATGACACTGCCAAAATACGATGCCTTGCAGGAATATCGCACGTGCCATTCAAGGCAAAGGTTGACTTTGGCGTCGAATGCCAAACCCTTCACCAAGTGTCATTACCGTGACACTCACATTCCCACGCAAGATGTGCGCGTCTGTGTAAACAACGGACTCATTTTTAGGCTTTTCGATACAACCACAGACGCATGGGCGGAAGATGTACTGCTGCATTGCGATACTAGCAAGCTGTGCACTTTCTTGCTTCCAAAGGGACCATATCATGGTTTGCAGCAGTACCTTACAAAAACATCCCACACGTCGAACGAGGTCATAGCCAATCAGGCAGATTGTCATAATGACATGACCCTCCACGAATTCATCGCGTTTGGAACCTTGCGGAGTGGACCGCGTTTACAATGGATGAATGTCCTCCGAGAGCTTCACGCGAGGACGCTCAATTTTCGACGTGAGGAAGTCCATCTACTGTTGGCGCAAACTGTTTCACAGGTCGGCCCATTGTCGTCCGACAACGACCTTATTTGGCACGAGGAGCTGAACAGTGTGCCCTTCCTGAGTGCACTACTTGGAGAGTTGGAGGATTTGATGGCGAGCGTTGAAGGAAATTGGTTGGAATGTGTCACGATCAGCACCATCATCATGGTCGTATGCCGTGTCTTGTACTTGACCCAGGAAGAAAGCATCAAAAGTCGCGGATATTCGCTTCTTCGAAGGATACGAACTGTGACATTTACGTTGCTGATGCAGCTATCAGGGAAAATGCAAGCTAGCAACGACGAGACAGTCAGCCGGGATTTACAAGGGCGCGTTCGTGATATGGCAGTCACCTGTCGTAGCACCTTCGATGTCGACGGAGACTCTTCACTGCTCCTGACGTCGAACGCTGACATCGAGACATTTGCATATTGTGCGGTCATGATTTATGACAACACTCCAAGCCAACTGGACGATCTTCCCCAACATTCCAAACTGCTGCTAGAGCGGGACAGGAGATGCTGTCACACGTTGGAACCCGCTATTCGTCAATACGCAGAGCTACGAAAGGAGGGTCTTGATCGTGCGATGGAAAAGATTTGGGGCAGCTACAGACAAGGAACTCCTTGGAGGGCACTGCCGGCTCCGAATTCTCGCTGGCTTGTGGCGCAGACTGCGCCTTCTCATTCTCAATCGCCACAAGATGTGCATTTCAATTTGATCAGTGGATGCTTGCTTGTCGGCGGGAAGCCACTGGGTAGGCTCCCTTCAGAGATAGTGCAACATCCTACGTACCAATATATTTTCGGCAATGTGAGTCTTTGAAAGTTGTGACTTTGCTAGTGCACGCTCACCTATCAACCTATAGCAAGTTCTAGACATCGTTCCAGCTGATATTCCTGGAATGGAGTATGCGACACGCGGGACCGTCTGTGACCATCAGGTTTGTAGTCACCCTCGTTGTCATAACTCAGTAACTAATGATGCACTCGCTTGTTACTGAAGGTGTCTTTTGCTCTCCACGACTCGAATGATCTCATCATCTGCGCAAAGCATATCGAGCAACGATCACCTACCCTGCAGCTCATTCCAAGCCAAAAGTTTGTGGGCGACCTACCGACAATCTTGATAGAAGTCCATACTCATTGGCTCAACCTGAGCACAAGTGAGATTGAGATTCGCCCAGCAGGGAATGTGTGGAACTTTTCACCTGATAATTGGGTCTTGCGATTTGCTGTTTCGGGCTCTTCGACGGTGCAGAATGCCAGCGGTGCCACCCTTATCGACATACGCAGCCAAACATGGGACATGATCTCAAAGAGGATGCGTCCTCTGGAGAATGCACGCTTCATCATGGTCACATACAACAGAGCATCCGGCAGTACCCCCTTGTTGAAGGCTGATTTACCTCGATATGGCCTCGAATTCTTTATTGACGATGATGGAGAACTGCAGTCCCGTAACATGCGCAACATGGTTGTCGACGCCATTCAGTATACTGGCACGATGTTGGGGCTGAAAAACAAGCTCGTCTTGCGCCCGAAGTCCAACATTGCAGACGAGCACCCACGCACCATCATCATCCCAGACGGTCGTATCTCATACTCTGTTAAAGGTCATCACGTCAAGGTCACCATCACTCCTGAAGCCTCCAGAGTGACGTTCTACGTGTACAGGGTTGATACAGATCTACACTGTCTCACTGGGAACGTGGGTCTGACAAGCAAACTCTATCAGGCGCTCCTCCACGCTGTGACCAGCGGATGTCTGCCTGATCCGTTGACGGGTCGAACTGGGACAGAGGAGGCGCTGCATCTCTTGCACTCAGCAGCTTGCCGGTCTTTCATGAAGCTCCGCCCTCGCGACACAGATCTTTTGCGCGATATCAGTTTGTTGTCAACCATGCGTGTCTGGTATCCCACTCATCTTCAAAAGATGCAGACAGTTTCGTGGTCATGTCTTTCGTCCCTCGCACAGCACCATGGTTTTCATCCAGCTGCGAAGTCTATCATGGACTACGGCATGCAACTTTCGGCTTTCTCAGAAGGATCTTCAAACCATTCCGCCTTTGATCTTCCACCATTCACGAACCACCTTCTCGAGCGTGCATCCATTCGTGCCTCGGCAGTCTATCCTGACCAGTTCTCTCTTCCACTTCCACTCGGTGACACAGATGTGATCTATGCTTCACGCCATATTCCCGACAAATTTGCGGAAGAGAGGGCATTCAAAACCGCCTTCATGGTGAATCAATGGCCAAGCAGACTTCCAGTGCAATGTAATCTCCTTATTTTGTTGACTCAGTGGGAAAGTGTTCAGGGCATAAGCAACTCGTTCAGCTTGCGATACTCCAAAGACTGGCTTCAGCCAACGTTTCCTGACGTCTTCCTTTCTGCGTACGACCACTGTCGCAGGGCTACAAAAAAAGACGCATCTCAGCTTATGTTTACCCTGGCTTCTGTATCATACAGCTTGTTGGATGACTGTTCGCTCGTCCCAACACTCCTAGCCTTCGCCACAATTCCCGAAATTCGCAGCTTGGGTAGCCCACCGAATTTCGCCTGCTATGATCTCTCGGACGGTTTCATGCCGTCCGACAGGGTGTTGGGCAATATCATCAATTCGTGCTCCATATATTACGAGAACAGCCAGGAGAGACGCCTAGCTCCAAGGCCTGGGGAAGATGAAAAAGCTCTGGGAAAGCGTCGTTTTGCAGCTTTCGAAGACGAATGCGAGTCTCAAAAGCAAGCCATTCTCAGCACAGTTCGGGATGCTTGGCCGTGTGAACATCCTCCGGCACTTCAGATGCTGCAAGCGAACTGCTACGATTTCAATAAACTATCGGAGAAACTTTCCCAAGTATTTCGCAGCTGTTGGCGAAACCGTTGTTTGGAGCTACATCTGGATGACCTGCAGGAGACCCTCGAACGGTTCTACACTCTTAATCCTCCTTCGAAACTACCCTCTCAATACAATCTTGATTCCCACCTTGAAGACTCGGCCGTTGCATCTCCGGCCTCATCAGTTGATGCCCAGTACCTGTTCGATAGAGATCCGCCTGTGATAAAAATGTGCAGGTCTCCCCAAGTTCTGCCCGATTACAATCAGAGATTTTTGGTACCTCCAGACCACCGAGTCACAGCGAGGTTGCAACAGCTGATCGACGACTTTCGCGTCCGAGGAAATGACCAATTTCGCCGCAAATATGCCAATGATCTAGAGGATAGCAAGTCGATTTACTGTGAAGAAAAGATTGCTACACAGCCAGATTCTGCGCCATACACGATGAAAGTATTGCTAAAGTACCATCGCCTCCATATCTCGCAATTCCGAAATTCACTTGCAACTATCGCATACGCCCTCTCCCCTGCTTCTGCCGCCGAGACCACATTATACAACGCTGGATTATGGCCCCGAGTTTCACCAAACTTTCTCTTCACTCGCATGGCGTCTGCAGCGGGAAATTCTTTGGGGAAGGCCTGGCGTAGGACTCTTGTCCACCTGTCACAGATTCTTTTGCAACTGCAACATTCAAGAAGACTGTTGGTATTTGCCGCTAACAAAAACTGGGTTGAGTTCTTCAAGGAATTGGAGAGCAAAGCATGCGAGGGGTTTAATCCAGAGCTGTATCCCGACTGGCTTTTAATACAGGTACATTTTAAATACAAAAATCATTAATGGTTACTGATAATGGTGTCCTCAGATTGAAAGTCAGTTCTTGGCACGGCCTGTCCAGGTTAAGGTTGCGCAGGAGATGATGTCGCCATCCGCAAGACGAAATACTTCTCTCCAGCTGAACATGGGCGAAGGCAAATCCTACGTGATTGTTCCTCTCGCAGCGGCCGCACTTTCCGATGGCCACAAACTGGTTCGAGTAATTGTGCTGAAGTCGTTGTCTGCTCAAATGTTCCAGCTTCTAGTTGAACGACTGAGTGGCCTTGCTCAGAGGCGCATTTTCTATATTCCATTCTCCCGCGCACTCTCTATCGACTCATCGAAGGTGAAAATGTATCGTGACCTGATGCAGGAATGCATGGACACCAAGGGCATTTTGGTCGTACAACCGGACCATATTCTGTCGTTTCAGTTAATGGCTGTTGACCGTCAGCTGTACCCTGAGACTGAAGCTGCTGAAGATATACTGCAGACTCAGCTGTGGCTCGACAATCACACACGCGACATCCTGGACGAAAGCGATGAAATTCTGCATGTCCGCTACCAACTGGTGTACACTGTGGGTCTTCAAAGGTCGCTTCAAGGACATCCCGAAAGGTGGACAACGACACAACAAGTGTTGGGTCTCGTCGCAAAGCACACCACCAGGTTCATGAGCGAATTTCCCTCTCACTACTCTGAAGTATCTTCTCGCAAACACGGAGTGTTCCCCTTCGTTCGAATTCTCCACCCGACAGCAGGCGACGCATTGGTCCAATGGATCGCACATGATGTCACCAGTGGGGCGCTTGAAAACATCAGCTTCGACCAAGCATCTTTGCATGTGAAGCAAACCGTCCACCAATTCATCGCAACTGAGAAGATATCCAACACTTGCATCAGCTTAGTGGAGAAGTGGTACAGACACACCACCGTCTGGCCCGGCCTCCTAGTTCTGCGTGGATTGCTGGCATGTGGTATATTGGTGCACACCCTCAAAGAACGTCGCTGGCGCGTTGATTATGGCCTCGCCCCAAAACGAACAATGTTAGCCGTTCCCTTCCGCGCCAAAGATATGCCCTCGCTGCGGGCAGAGTTTGGCCATCCGGACATTGCTGTCACCCTCACATGCCTGTCATACTACTATGGGGGTCTCACACTCCAGCAGCTGATGTTGTGCTTTGAGCTCCTGTTGAAGCAGGACAATCCCGCCCTCGAATATGAATCATGGGTGCTTGGACTTCAGTCCGTCCCAGAAAGTCTGCTTCATCCTAGCGGGATCAATACGGAATCTGCAGATCAGCTCCATGACCTGCAGCAACTGTTTGAATTCAACAAGAAAGTCATAGATTTCTACCTGTCCCGGGTCGTTTTCCCCAAGGAAGCCAAGGGATTCCCAAATAAGCTCACCTGCTCCGGATGGGATCTCGCTCAAGAGAAGAGACATTTTACAACCGGCTTTTCTGGAACAAACGATAATCGATATTTGCTACCAAGCTCGATTGTGCAGCGCGACCTCGACTACCAACGCAGCACGAACGCCCGAGTCCTAGCTTTCCTTCTGCGCCCGGAGAATAATTGCTACACATGCATACCACCCGACCGAAATGCGAAACATTTCATCCATACCTTGATTGCACAGACTCCCGAGGTCCGCGTGCTCCTCGACGTGGGAGCGCAGATGCTGGATTTGAGAAACCAGGAATTTGCCGAAACATGGCTTCGAGTCAAGCGCGACGCCCAAGCCGCAGTGTTCGTGAACGACGACGATGAACTTGTTGTTGTCAAACGGGATGGGACAGTAGAGCCCCTTGTGTCATCCCCCTTTGCCCAGCAGCTTGACCAGTGCGTGGTATATCTGGATGACGCGCACACCAGAGGAACGGATATCAAGCTGCCTTCTGGCTTCCGAGCTGCTGTCACACTGGGTCCCAAAGTCACGAAAGATCGTCTAATGCAAGGTTTGTGATTACAGAGTAACGGTTATGTGTATTAGTTCTGATTATAACCGATGGCACAGGATGCATGCGAATGCGGAAGCTGGGCAATGGGCAATCAGTAATGTTCTTCGCTCCGACGGAAGTTGACCGGAGCATTCGTTCGGCGACTCGGAAACCTGATACCGATGGTGTCGATGTGGCAGACGTCCTGCATTGGACGATGCTCGAAACCTGTATTGATATTCAGACGCGAGCATTCCACTGGGCTCAACAAGGATCGAATTTTAAGACACGACATTCCGCATGGACTCAATTTTCGCGCGCGCCCACTACTTCGGTTCCCACCCTGAAAACAGCCTGGTTGCAGCCAGAGGAGCGTTCATTGGAGGATATGTACGCACCATGCAATTCCTCACAGGCATCCCAGGTTTGCGATCCAGACATTCAAAAGAAGTACGAGGAGCTTGGAGTTGTAGCAGGACCCGAAAGGAGCATGGACGAGGAACAAGAAAGGGAGGTGGTCCACGAGGTAGAGAGAGAACGGCAAGTTCAAAGACCACCCAAGGTCAATCCTGCAGCCCAAGACCTCCATGTGGACGTTCGTCGATTCATCCAGACCGGCCTAATTCCCACCGGGTCCCCCGCATTCATTCCAATGCTATCCGGCCTTGACAACACTTCTGCTGAATTTGATGAGGGCGATCAATGGGGGCGCGATGTTTTAGTCACCCTTGACTTCGCTCGTACCGTGGGGGCTCTCTTTTCCATCGAGAAAGTGGATGATTATCTGCGGCCCGTCAATTGGATCGTATCCAGTAACGTTGGAGTGCTGGTAGTCATGAGCCCGAACGAAGTGAACACACTGCTGCCCGATATCCGCGAAAGCCCTGTAATTCATTTGTGCGTTTATACTCCTCGCACCACAAAAAAGATGCAGGCATGCGATGACCTTCGACTCTACTGTGTCCCTTCAACGCCATGGCTGACACCATCAGTACCGCTTATTTGCCAGCTCAACCTTTTTGCCGGCCAACTCTACTTCTCCAGTTACGAGATGTATCTCCACACTTGCAATTTCTTAGGGCTCAACGCACCGGATCTAGGGGATGAGGAGTTGATAGCCGAGAGCGACGGGTTCATCAGCGAGGAGAATCGCCCTTCTGCGAGAAAATTGTGCTCGTTCAAGCGATCCCAGCTTCCTCCATTGAAGGAGTTGTTCGGAATGAGAAGGAAAGGCATGGGGTATTCACCAACTCACCTCGGAAAGATGCTCAATGGCCGCATTCTGACTGAGGAGGATTTTCTCGACTTTAGCGCTGGGAGGCGCTGGGTCTGTTTAGCATAATTTTTAGCGCAGTTCAGGTCAACAACGATTGTACCATAACACTGCAAATTGTATGGCCGCGAATTGACGAAGTTCGCGGGTTCTTCATTCGGCCACCAATGGTCTCGCACATAAAGTCTGCTAGCGCAAAAATTGAACATAAAGAAAACCTCGACTCACACACCACTTATTCGCCATCAACCGGTGTTCCTCAAAAAGGTGCCTTTTGAGCTCATTTAACCTTCCAAATCGCTTTGTCTGATTTCCGTGCGTTTCCGTAAACGATCTTTGGTGTTGCTCGGACGCCACCTGAGTCGGCGAGTTATCATTAGTCGATGATACTATGATGGCCTGAGCCAAGCCCAAGCCAGGCCCAGGCCCAGGCCCAGGACCTCTGGGTGGGCCTGGCCTGAGTTTTAGCCAGGCCCAAGCCAGGGCTTTTAGGCCAGGCCTGGCCTGGCACATCACTACACGGCACGGTGGAGTAGGGGTTCCGAGGGCTGGGACTATACATTCGGGGCCTCCACCGGCCCTTTCCATAGCTTAGTCAGCACGTAGACTAGGTTCTTGCATGTTCGTAGCTTAGGATCATCATCATGCTAGCTGGTTCCCCTGCTCTTGGCTGAGGCCGCTGGCCCCACTCCAACGGTGACAGGAGTTCATGGTACTACCCTGTTATCACTCGGTTCTTACTCGCTGCCTTCGAATAACTTCAAACCCTGAGCAAAACAAAATCCGAATTCCCTCAGGGTCCAGGAATGGACTCAGAAACGCATAAGAAATGTGGTCAGCCTCCAAGCCTAGTACACCCTGACGCTGAACGGTTTTTTTGGACATATTGGAGTCCTTGTTCTACTCACTGTCAGCCGGTGTTCCTAACCTAAGGAACACCGGTTGATGGCGAATAAGCGGTGTATGAGTCGAGGTTTCTTTCCGCTCAATTTTTGCGCTAGCCGACTTTATGTACGAGACCACCGGTGGCCGAATGAAGAACCCGTGAACTTCGTCAATTCGCGGCCATACAGTTTGCATTACCTTTTTTATCACGGACTCTATACATACGCCTTATAATCCTGCTGTCTCGCATTAAGTCGAACCTCAGACCTCAGCAGTTCCGTCAGTGTTAAGTTTGTATGTTTCGTGTTTCTTGCACGCTGAATTCATCTCATCATAATCTGTCTCTAGACTTCCACTCGCCAACGTGTCCTACAATTGTCATGACTGTACCCCCAGCTCGTTGCGCGGATGTCCAGGTATGTTTGAATTTAGGCCTTTCGACGTCGGCTAAATTGCTACAGGTCGGAGATATCGCTTGCTGCGACCCAAACCTTGCAGTCCCTCTTCTGAGAGCCTACAATCATGATGCAGACAAGAAGGATCACTTCTACACCACTAATGCTAAGGAGATGAAAACAGCCATCGACATGCTTGGATACGCTGCGGAGGCAGTCGCTGCCTACGTCTTTCCCACCCCACAGCCCGCCACTGTCCCGCTCTATCGCATGTTCAATACGGGTGGTGTGGACCATTTTTACACCACGTCGTTTGACGAGATGCAGCGCTCGGTTCTAGAAAATGGTTACAACGATGAAGGGATCGCTGCACATGTCTTTAAGACTAACATATGCGGAAGCATTCCCCTCTACCGTCTGTGGAGCGTACATGATACAGATCACTTATACACCACGAGCATAAAGGAGGTGAACACCTCTGTTGCCAAAAATGGTTATGTCTTTGAGGGCATCGAGGCTTACGTACTTCCTGTTCGTTAGTTTGACGGACACAAAGGATTTGATTCGATGTAGATCGATGTGTAGAATTACTTTGTGTTTTACTTCCCCGGTTGAAGGCTCCTGATGTTATTCTCCCCGAAAATTCGATGCCTTTCACAAACCTGCAACCTGCCCATAAACCAAACTGATCGTTTCGCATGTACCGTCAGCAATATGTTCTCCTTCTGGACTTTCAGTACACCATACATTACCGTCACCGGGAGCCTGTGGCTTAGTGGTGAAGGTAAGGGGAGCCCCCCTCGCCAGCGGCGGGTGTGGGCTGGTATGAATGATTTGACGTCTCGTGCCAGAAAATTCTGGGTGTCAGTGTTTGAATTTGCATGTCCTCATACGTCTTGTGCATGATAATGAGAACTCACGGTCGAAAGACAGTGGAGCTTTCGATGTCCAGAAGCTTGCGTGTGTATGGCGTTGGTTGTGGATCATCATCTGGTTTCAGGACGGCCAGCGAGAGTTGTGGGGGGACACAGCAACGAAATGCGCATCTCATTCCTTTACCATGTCCTCGCTGTACGTCACTAATTGGTAAAATATATATCCATAAGTCCTGAACGACGATGAAAACGTGCATTTATGGCTTGCTACATACCAACAACACTGATGCTTGTTCTTGAACCTGTCTCTCGAGGCCTGCCGTGGGGATCCGAGCAGAATGAGTTGGTCTCAACTACTGTCGCAATGGCTCCACTAATTAATTCTAACTAAATTCCAATTATGTTGTTATATATTGCTGGCCGCGATGGTGCAATGTTGCGACGTGGAGTAGCGGGGAAAGGAGGGGTGTTATCTGCATTTTGTACGTACGACGCGTTCGACCAGTTTATAGCATGCTCGAAGTGATAATTGGTCCATAGTTAGATTTGGTTGTTTGCCAAGACCTTGTTTGGATTCAGGCCTTTTGCAATACAAATTCAAATTGAGTGCCACACTTCGCTCAACCGTGACTGCAAGGTACTGTACAGTATACCACAATGAAACGTTAACTCTGCTATCATTTACCGACTTGTACCCTTGTTCGAAGCGGGAGGTTAAGTCATCTGTCACACAAAATCTGGTCTTCGTCCCTGTCAGTTTCTTTACGTGTTTTAGCTCCACTCTCTGGTCAATTTTCCGTTTTTTGATCAGTGACTACATATTATGATTCGAGCCCCGGGGATTACATTTCGGGCTTGTAACGGAGGTATGCAGGGTGGATCTATTTATCCTCCATATCTTATGACGCGTATAAAGAAACCCCATTCAATCATGCAACGGCTTTCTCAAACAGACATGCCCAATCATATCGGAACTAGCAACAACTTGGGTCCAGCACGGCAACGTAAGATTACAATCGTGGCACGGTGTTGGTCTTGGTAAACAGATCTTTCACGGGCGCGGCGGATAATAGAGGCTCTGCTATGTACCTAATGTCATGCACCACGATCAGTATGTAAGAGTGGCGCTGGGAAGCAAGGCCTCGCCCCGTCCTATGGGGTAGATGAACCCCATGCACACCTCGTCTTCCAGAAAACGCCGTAACAATTGAATTGAATTCTAGGTTCATCGCGAGGGCAGTTTGTACGTCGAAATCACATTTCCGAACGCCGCAGCCGTTTCTACCTTCGATCATAATGTCAAATATGCGCATTAATGTCATCGCCCTCCATTCTCATTTCGACAGCAATCCGTAATGCAATTTTCTATATCGCCTTGTCAGGGGTGGCAGTGGCGGTATGCAAACGGGCTGCGCAATGCGCTCGCTACAAAATTCACCTCATAATCAGGTTGTGCAGGTCTCATTTCTGGACCCGCTGGATACAACAGCACGTAGGTTTGTTCTTGAACCTGTCTCTCGGGGCCTGCCGTAGGGATCCGAGTAGAATGAACCAGTCTCCACTATTGTCACAATAGCTCCACTGATTGATTCCCATTCAAATTCCACAACACGTCGTAAGACGGTTGCTCAGGAGGGCAGATACCGGCATGAGCCAGCACGTTGGATCTGGAATTCGGAGAAGTATTTCCAGATGGGCCGACACCTCCTATATCGCTCGGCGATACGAGCTGGATCCGATTGTGCGCTAGTACCGTAGCACTTGGTTCTTCACATATGGCCGTTGCACTATAGCAGTTTTCAGGGAGACAGCGAATAAAGAACCGAGTGAATTAGAAATGGTCCGAACCCCAAGGGCGCTCAAAAGGTGCCTTGGAGCTTAATTATTAAATTAACCTTCCAAGTTGCTTTGTCTAATCCGGGCTAGCGTTCTGACGAGTTCTTCCAACCGGTATGGCAGAGCTGCGCCAGGCAGATGCGGCAGAAAGGCAGGCCAGTACCACCCTAGGCTAATCAGAGGTAACTGTGAGCTTTTCGACAAAGTTGCCAACAAACCTGGCCTCTATGTCTGGAAATGAAAGCACCGTAGTTACCTCGACAACTACCCTGGTGCCAAAATCTAAGGTCGCGACAATAATCTGCCTAGCCATGTCATCTGCCACTGCAGGGATTCACTGGAACTTCGCCGACAAGCCCGGATATTGTTATGAACAAGACATGTGATGATGGTGGTCAGGTTCTCTCACACAGCACCTTTCCAATCGCTTCGTCCAGTTCTCGCCCAGGAATTGGAAGCCAATTTTACATGGGCGCCTCCACTTGCAGCAGAACCACAAGATGTAGACGTAGGTCCAGAGACCATTTCAGCTGAAAAAATCGCCGAAGCATTTGTTGCTCTCAAAGCACAGGAGAATCTGGAAGAATTCGTGAATATTGAGTACTATTGATGACGCAGAGGTCCGAGAAGGCATTTGTTTTTTGCCGAATTGAGGCAGGTTGACCGAGGGTTAGTACCCCAAGCTGCTGTAGACGAGGTTGATTCCGTGAACCATGACGGCGAGATGGAATGAGGCGTCATTGATGTTGTGGATAGAAAAATTTCACCGCTAGAGTTATGCCACTCGGCAGAACCGGTTATGATTCTGCCGGTTGTGCCGGCAAAACCAACCTCAAGTTTGCCTCAAGTACTTTACTACGTTCTGACCCACAACGACTACTGATCCCGTGTGCTTCCGTAAATCTTTGGTGTCGCTCGGACGCGACCCGAGATGGCGAGTTATGATTAGGTCGATATGGAAGATGCCAGAAGTGGGAGCGTGTTTCAACGTGGCATGGTTCAAAGTAAGTAATCACGATTTGGTTGTTTGCAAGATCTTGTTCGATGGATCAAGGCTTTTGAGCACCCAAGTTGCATACATCGAGCTTCGTGGTATACCATAACGAAACTATCATTTGCATTCATGTCGGAAGGCCGTGGTCGCTGTTTTCGTGTCGGCGGAACTCCACACATTGACATGAACAAGGTATAGCTATCTTCGGACAGACTAATTAATATTGGGTTAGGTGTTGTTAGGTGTCCAACTGGGATGCCAGTTGAGTGTGGTTCGAGACTAGTCCATACTGTCCTGTCAGCTAATAACTCGTCTTCCATATATGCTGTCATTTTTGACTGGTACTCTTATTCTAAGATTGTTCGGTCACGATTTCCGACTTGCATCTGTCACCCCAAACTCTGTAAGTTTCTTTATATGTTATAGCTGCACTCTCTGATCGATCTTCCTGTTTTCTGCCGCGACTTTCATGATGCAGGAATCGGATTTTGGGTTTGAAACGAAGGTATGTAGGCCGTATTTAGTTCTCCTCCATATCTTATTATTACTCATATACATGAACCCTAGCGAATCATGCAATGGCCTTCTCAAATAGGCATGGCCAATCATACATACCGGAACTAACAACAAGGTCCAGCGCGGCAACGTAAGATTACAATCGTAGCACGATGTTGGTCTTGATAAATTGATCTTTCACAGGCGCAGCATAGAGTATGGGCTCCGCTATGTACCTAATGCCATGCACCACGATCAGTATGTAAGAGTGGTGCTTTGAAGCAAGGCCTTGCCCCGTCCTATGGGGTAGATGAACCCTGTCTTCCATGTAACGCCGTAACGATTTGAATTCTAGGTTCATCACGAGGACAGTTTGTACATCGAAGTCACATTTCCGAACGCCGCAGCCGTTTCTACCTTCAATTCGGATGTCAAATATGCGCAATGCCATCACCATCCATCCGCATTTCGACAGAAATCCAGCATGCAATTTTCTATATCGCCATGTCAGGGGTAGCAGTGACGGTGTGCAAACGGGCTGTGTAATGCCACGCTCGCCGCAAAATTCTGATCCGTGCGGTTTAAGGTCATTCTATAGGGGTATTCTCAGAAGCAAGGCGCCACCCCATCAAACCTGCATCGTTTACGTGGAGAAGTACTTGGCCATGTAAGATTTTGCGTCCTGAATCATGTCATGGACACCCCGCCCGGAACAGGAGCATTTACGTGCCATCCACAATCGTGGCACGTAATCGTATCACAAGGTATCACACATGATGTGTATTTCCGATTGGTGCAGCTCGTCGCCTTGTAAAGGTCGATGCCAAATTCAGCGGCTCTTGATGTATAAAAGCAGCCTTCAGTAGATACAGCAGTCCATCGCCAACTCTACGTGAGTGATATCCAAACCGGGGGTGATCCAACTAACAATTAACTACCTACTCAAGGAGATTTGAGTTGCGTTTACTTTCACACTTACACCGCACCTTTGTCTTTAGTTTCTGTCAATCTGTGAGTCCTTTCGCTAGTTACATAGCTCGCCACCATATTAACGCACACTGACACAGATCCAGTATGCCTATCGCGAGACACGGCGCATGGCTCCATCAGCATCCCGACACCATCAGTGCTTTTATTAAATTGAAGAAGGCTCAGTGTCTCCCGGTGTACTCTGGTAGTCAGCCCCGCCAGCTTGTTCCAGTTATCCAAGAGTTCGAGCACTTGGTCACCACTGACTCTGAAGTTACGGCGGCTTTCACCACAATGATGAAGGAAGGCGTTAACAGTGATGTATGTGCATTCCGATTTCCTTCTCGCAGAACTGACACTCTACCTAGATACCCGACCTTAAAACGCTCTTGGAATTGCTCAACGAAACAATCGCAGAAGCACCTCAGTGCATTCCGGAAGACGACCCTATCGGCATCCCTATGTACGCAATCTTGAAGCAATTTGTGGAGAAGCCTACGTCCTACATCGTCTTCACCAATCCCAAGGTCAATGCGCAGATTCAGAAGATCTTCAAAGTCTGGACGAGGTTCCTCGTCTCCCCTTCATCGCGCGACACCCTCACTACCAACGACGATGGGTGGTTTGGCCCGCACGGAACGAAGCTTATGCCCAATTTCGTGCGGGACTTCGCGTGTAGACCAAATCAACCTCATTTTGGTTTCACGTCTTGGGACGACTTTTTCGTTCGGAAACTCAACCCCGGTGCACGCCCCATTGCGTCGCCAGATGACAATCTTATCATCAATTGCGCTTGCGATTCTGCCTGCTATCGCACCGCATCAAATGTGGAGGCGCACCAGTCTTTCTGGCTCAAAGGACAGACATACTCCCTGTACCACATCCTCGACGATCACGATCTTACGTCTCAGTTCGTCGGTGGGACTGTAATGCAAGCCACTCTTAGTCCCACCGATTATCACCGCTGGCACACCCCCATCAATGGCAGAATTATAGATACCAAACTCGTGAAGGGCACGTTCTACGCCCCTAGCCCGACCGAGGCAGGCACCTTCCCGGAGAAGAAGCCTAATGGGCCGCAGGCGGAGTTTGAGGACATTATCAGCCGTTCTCAAGGCTTCATGACTGCGTTCTCCACCCGTGCCTTGATTTTCATCGAATGTGTTGATCCCAGGGTCGGCCTCATGTGTTTCGTTGGTATAGGACTGGGAGAGGTGTCGACTTGTGAGATCACAGTTGACAAGAATGAGATGGTTAAGAAGGGGGACGAGATTGGGATGTTCCATTTTGGTGGCTCAACTCATTGCCTCATCTTCCGTCCTGGCGTTGACATCCACTTCGTCAATGGACTTGGCCAACCTCTCGCGAAGGACGACAAGCTCGTCATTAACGCGAAACTTGCAGAAGTCGTCTCCAACGAGCTTGAACCCATGCCAGTCGATTCCGTGTAGGTACAGCAATTGTTGAATTGTACGATATCGGTCAGATGTTTGGATTGGTGCAGTTGAATCGCGGAGTGCATAATACCTCGAAAATCCAGATCTACCTACTCCTTTGAGTTGTACTTGTATACATGTATTACGGGTTACCTACCAAGAATCGTGATGTTCAGATGTTCGAATATATTTCAGTCGCTTCATAGCAACAGGTCATTAGAAGTACAATGAAATGCCAAGATGTGAGAACGAGAGTTGTACACAAGTGTGAAGACATGTAAAGTTAGAAGTACAATCAAGAAACTCTGGGGAACATCACGACATATCTACATTGCCATACGTAAGGACCGAATAGTTGATTCCGCGGAAGTAATTTGCGGTACTCCCATGTGTGAACCCCGACCTGAGCTCAACCGGCACTGCGCCGCAGCCAGCCGGTGGGTGCTTGGCATCAGCCGCTGTCTGCGGTGTGCTTATCTCCGTGTCGTTACATATCTAAAGATACCCTTCCAAGAGACTCCACCTTGCCTGTCGATGGCTGGTCGCTCCGTACCCTGTACGCTGAGGGACCGTCATTTTGGGTATATTTTGATATATGGACCTGCAAGGGCTTCATAGGATAATCCTGCAAGGTCTCCTGTGTCGTCCCATCTGAGCCTATTGTCCCTCTAGGGACAGTCGAGAAGACAGTTGAGATGTAGCTGCGATTTTTTCGATTGAGTGTTATACGAATGAGCACCATGTAGAAGGCAATCGATATGATCGGCATGACCTAGTTAATCAGAGCTCAGTTTTTTTTGTTCGTGATAGGTGTCAACGACGTAATCACCAGGTCTGTCAAAACAGACTCTCCGTTGTTCCCGGAGAGGAAACAGATTAGTAGGCTGAAGAGCACCACAGAGTACAAAACGGCGGCGTCCACGAGTATGCGTACTATTGGAATCATGGTACCTCTCTTCGATGTACGCACTTTAGCAACCTCGCGTTCGATCGTCCATATACGATACGCCAGTAATCCTGGATGCATTCAGGGCCTCGACATTGGGCTCGAGGAGACGTACTCACCTGAACACAACAGATTGGTCGTAATAGTCGAGGCAAAGAATGCCGTAATCCACTTCGTAAGCTGTGAGGCGAATACGTCTCCGGGGTTACTGCTGGCTTGCGAAACACTGTAGACCGCATGAACACCAGTCACTGCGAAGAAACGTCAGATCACGTGATTTCCTGAGTTGCAACCTAACCTACGATGGCACACCACAGTATGCCTGGTATGATCGCAATCCGGGCGGATTGCCAAACAATATAGCAGCGATAAACCTTTTGTCCAGGCCAGATTCTATAAGCTCATAGGGTAAGGTGGCATATAGAAACATGAACCCACCATCACGCCATCAGCAAGTACGGTCTGGAAGATGTATAACGCATGCTTGATCACGTATGTTTCTTCGGTTATGTCTGCGAAAAATGCCGCGGGCCCGCCTGGCCATGTATCGCGATACTTCACGAATCCATTTTCGACGCGAATGATAGTAACGATCATGTGCTTGGGAAATATTAGCATATAATGTCACATGTAAGTAGCTAGTTACCCACGACGGTGCTCACTAACAATAGCAGGACGGCGACTACAGCGATTGGCCGATTGATATCCTGCAAGCTACGCTTGTATGTCAAAGCCCAAATGGTACCCGTGAACATGAGGACTGAAAAGCCTGAAGAAACGACCCTGGCTTGGTGACCATGGACAGATAAAATAAATTCAATGCGATACTCACCATATAAAATGCCTTCTAGCACTGCTGACATTAAAGCGCCAGTATCCGAAGGGATGCCAGACATTGAGAGTCTATAGTCAAGCTGAGGGATTAGTACGGAGATGTATGTACAGTTTTTAGTTTGGTGCGTATTATTATATAGGTCATTGTGTTGGAAATTGTACCAATCCAGGTGACCAGGGTGGGGCTCCAAGAATCTCGCGGCGAAATCCGACCGATAACTGCATCATGATGGCAGGCAAGCCAATGAAGGAAGAACAAACTTCCGCCTATTAATTAGTCTACCGGAGGATATTTCCGGCTGCAGCTGCAGGAGGAACGAGTTCCGTACTGTCTTCGGCATCTGTGTTGACTGACTTGAAGGGTAGACTCCTAGGATCAATACCTATCGGACTTGTTGCATAAGACCTGCGGATGTGACAGTATCTGTCATAATTCATTCGTTCTGGCGATAAAAAGCACAGAGTACATAGAATTTCCCACGCAATGCTGTGCATTCAGAAGGCAACCCAAGTCGTAAACCTATGTCATCTGACTCGCAGGAAATGGTATCTTTATAATAGTCCTCATGTTTCAAAGGCGC